AGGTACTTCTAGAATTATTAAGACATATGGGTTGGGGACCACTGGGACGGCTGCCTCATTTATGATTTGAAGGTCCTGGACTAGCCTGTATTTGTCATTGCTCTTTTTTTTTTTTTTTTTGAGACAGAGTTTTGCTCTTGTTCCTCAGCCTGGAGTCCAATGGCGCAATCTCGGCTCACTGCAATCTCCACCTCCCAGGGTCAAGTGATTCTCCTGCCTCAGCCTCCTGAGTAGCTGGGATTATAGGCATGCACCACCCACACCCAGCTATATAGATATATATATTTTTTAATAGAGACATGGTTTCACCATGTTGGCCAAGCTGGTCTCAAACTCCTGACTTCAAGTGATCTGCCCACCTCAGCCTCCCAAAGGGTTAGGATTATAGGCGTGAGCTACCACACCTGGCCTCATTGCTCTTTTCAACAGGTAAGGTGCAGTGTTACAAGGCAAGTTACTGGGTATTCAAAATTCATGTTATAAAAATGTGTCAATCAGGGGCCAAAGTCCCTCTTTGGCCAGATGCCTTCTACAAGGATAGCAAGAAGGACACTTGAGGTGAATTACTACAGGCATTGCCTTTATGGCCTTTCCAGGTATTCCTGTGGCCCAGACCTCTGGATTAATGAAAAGGTCATTCAGCAGTTTGTATTTTTAGTAGAGATGGGGTTTCACCATGTTGTCCAGGATGGTTTTGATCTCTTGACCTCGTGATCCGCCTGCCTCGGCCTCCCAAAGTGCTGGGATTACAGACTTGAGCCACCGTGCCCGGCCATCAATCATTCTTATATCATGAAGCCTTCATAAAAACCCAAGCGGCCTGGGTTCAGAGTTTCCATACCACGCAGAAGTTCCTGGAGGGTGGCGTGCCCGGGGAGAACATGGAAGCTCTGGAACCCCTCTCCCCGTACCTCGCTCTATGTATCATCTTTTCATCTGTATCCTTTGTAATATCCTTTTCATAAACCAGTAAATGTTGTTTCCTGAGTTCTGTGAGGCACTTCAGTAAACCAATCAAACCCAAAGAGGAGGTTGTGGGAACCCCAACTCAAAGCTAGTGAGTCAGAAGTTCTGGAGGCCCAGACTTGTGACTGGTGTTTAAGGAGAGAAGCATGAGTCTTGGGTTCTGGGCCCCAAAATGGCAGGATCTGTACACCATCTTCAGGCAGACAGTGTCGGAACTGAATTGGAGGACACCCAGTTGGTATCTGCTGTAGAAGTGATTGCCTGCTTCCTGGTGGAAAGAAATCCTCGGGAAATACAGAAATCTTTTGTGTTGACGGTTGTGGTGTGCGAACAGAGGAAAATCGGTTTGAGAGTTTTTCCCAAACAGTTACTAAATGTATTGAGAAAATGGGACACCACTGGGAATGAAGAGCGGAGACGTGAATATTCATGCTGGGATAACAGGACTCTTGGGTGAACCAGGAAGAACAGTTCCTTATTCTGTGGGAAATGCTATTTTCTCTTATTATTATCACTCAAAATGGAAGAAATCTGAATCTGTATTATCAAGGGCTTATTTTAAAATTTCAAAAGTTTTCAGTTGATGAAGGGTCGAGGAGAAAAGTCAACAGCAGAGTGATGAAGAACAAATTCTGGAAAATATACATGTCAGAATTCAAACCAAATTCCGGAACCCTGTGATCCACAACCTTCTGCACTGTCTGTGAGTCATTACTGAAAAGCTGAGTTCTGTAGGGGAAGATTAGCTCAACTGGCTTAGAGATGTTGATTCTGTAATCAACTTCTGATTCCTTCTGCAGGTCTTACACTCAAATTTTCCAGCGGAGAGACTGATTAACCAGTGACTATCAACAGGAGGATGACTCTTTTGAGCTGAGCTACCACCCCAGGCCATTGGCATGGCTGACGTCCACTTCTGGCCTGACCAGCATGGGCCACAATGGTAGGGTCCTTGGTAGAGCACATGGCTGCCGCACATAAGGAGTTGCCATCACAGTGGTTACAGTCCTAAACTTCAATCAGACGGACTTGGGCTGAAAATTTGTCTCTACCATTATAAGGTTTTGACTTTAGGCAAATTAGCTAACTTCTTCTCTAAGGCTGTTTGCTTATCTGCTTAATCGGGATAATTATGTATCATGAGACTGATATAAGAATAAAACTAAACCATGTGTGGAATACACATATACAGGTATTTGTATGGACCTGGCACATACAAAGCCCTTAACAGTTACTCCAAGAGCCTCTTCCCTCATCAGGGCTGTGGATATGGTCCTTCCAGTGAGGAATAGTCTCTTCTTCTGCTACTTGTTAAGGCTGTAAGGAGAAAGGCGTGAGGTTTTGGTGATTTTGAATCTCATCTCAATGTGTATTCACATCAGAACACAAGAATATGCTGCAATTGTTTGCATGTTTGTTTGAAAGATTATAGTTTGAAATTCTCAGCTCTATAAAGGAAATCCAAGTTAAACTACCTGAGCAATAGTGATTTTGTTACCCTTCCCTGTATCTCTGACTGTGCTGGGTGACAGAAGACCCCTCAGGAACCCCCAGCTCTACCCCAGCCTCCACCACTCTCCACCACTTATTAGGTGGGTGGACCAGGACAGTCATTTAATTTCTCTGAGCCTCATCTCCTGTCTTCAAAGTAGGACAATAAATACCAATTATGTCACAGAGTGGCTGTAAGTTTTAAATATAATGCTGTGTGGGTTTTTGTTATTGTTGTTTTCATTTCTTTCCTTTTTTTTTTTTTTTTTTTTGGCTAGGGACTGGCATGTAGGTCCTCAATAAATATTAGGTTTACCTTCTTCTTCTTTTCAAATTCCTTTTGGGTCTAAGTTTCTGTGGTATTATGATGTCTTTTTTTTTGTAGCTTTGTTCTAAAAATGGGTATTAATAATGGCCGATCAATATTTTGTGTATTTAAAATGGAGAGCTCTATAAATATTTATTGAGTTTACTTGTTCTGGATCTGAGTTCAAGTCCTGGATATCCTTATTAATTTTCTGTCTTGTTGAGTCTAAATCTCTTTATGAGTCTTATGTATCTGGGTGTTAGGATCGCTAGCTCTTAATGTTGCATTGATCCTTTTACCACTATATCTTTGTTGCTTTGAAATCTATTTTATCAGATTTTATTTATTTGTTTTTGCTCTCCATTTGGTTGGTAAATCTTTCTCCATCCCTTTGTTTTAAGTCTTTGTGTATCTTTGGATGTGAAATAGGTCTGGATGTAGCATATCGTTAGGTTTAGGCTGTATCTTTTGATTAGGGGATTTAGTCGTCTTAAATTTAGGGTTACTGCTATTTGATGTTAAATGGCTATTTTATCCATTCGTTGATGTAAATTCTTCTTTATGTTGATACTCTTTACTTTTTGGTATATTTTCAGAAAGGCTAATACTGGTTGTTCCTTTCTATGTATAATGCTTCTTTCAGAAGCTCTTGTAAAGCCGGCCTGGTGGTAGTAAAATCTCTGAGTACTTGCTTGTTCATAAAAGATTTTATTTTTCCTTCAATTGTGAAGCTTAGTTTGGCTGGATATGAAATTCTGGGCTGAAAGTTCTGTTCTTTAAGGATGTTGAATATTGGCCCCCACTCTCTTCTGGCTTGTAGGGTTTCTGCTGAGAGATCTGCTGTAAGTCTAATAGGCTTCCCTTTGTGGGTCTATGATAGATAGACATTATGATGTCTATCTATCTATCTATCTATCTATCTATCTATCTATCTATGTATCTATCTATCTATCTTGATTTTCATCCATGGTTCCTGGCTCTTAACTCCCATAGCCCTTGTTACAGTCTTTTGTTATGTTGGGTGTGTTAGGCTTCAGGAAACCAAATCTCTCTGGCCTTCTGCCCTCCTTTCACCTGCTCTAAGGCAGGACTCTAATCTTCCCCCACCTTTCTGATTGTAGGACTTAAGACCCTCCCAAGAGAGGGTCCTGCCCTATGCCCTGGGGGAAGCAATGCTGACATCACAAAGCTTCCGTAAAAGTCCAAGAGGACTGGATTCAGGGGGCTTCGGGATAGCTGAACACGTGGAGGCTACTGAATAGTGGTGTACCCAGGGAGGGCATGGGAGGCCCATGCCCCTTCCCCCACACCTCATCCTATGTGTCTCTCTATCTCCATCCACTGCAGTATCCTTTATAATAGACCGGTAAATGTGTTTCTCTGAGTTCTATGAACCACTTTAGCAAATTAGCTGAACCCAAAGAGGGCATTGTGGGAACCCAACCTGAAGGCAGTCATTGAGAAGTTCTGGAGGCCCAGGCTTACAATGGTGTTTAAAGGTGAGGAGGCAGTCTTGGGGACTGAGCCCTCAATCTGTGGGATCTGATACTTCAGGTAGATAATGTTGGAATTGAATTGGAGGGCACCCAGGTACAGTCTGCTGCTCAGTGGGTGGGGAAAACCCCACACACATCTGGTCACCAAAGTATTCCCCTGTGTTGGTGATTGTTGTTGTGTGAGAGTAGAGGAAAAACATGGTTTGAGGGAGTTTTTTCCTATACAGTTTCAAACAAGGATATTGGACCACACGACCAACATTAAAATCTCTCCCATCCTTAATATTGCATGAAGCTGTTCAGACAGTGGTTGTAGCAATTACATCTCTTAGACTTCTCTGACTTTTCTCTGTCATCTTCTCACTCTCCCCTTTTTCTTTGTTTTCCTTTCTGTTAACAAGAGTGGAAATCACTTCTATTCATGTACCTCCTCCCAACCCCACCCCCAAACTATTCCATCCATCTGACTGACTTTTAGCTACATCTACTTTATAAAATTAGATGTCTAATGAGATGTCATAGCCTAAAATTACCTAATAAATCGATTTCCTTTCTGCATTATTCTACCCAGACAACACCCTGCTTTCTCAATTTGGAATGTTGGGCCACCACGGTTCCTAACTGGATACCACAAGCTAGGTCCTATGAGGGAGAGAGGTGTTTCTGGCTTAAATCATGAGAATTAGGGTAGAGAGTAAAGGATAGCCAGCCACAGCTAAGGAATGCAGTCAGTCACAGGCCAAAGTCCCCATGTACCATTTATTTTTTCTACTGGCCCCATAGCAGACATTAATTGAATGTGTTTTGTTCTATCGTATTCCGTTTCAGTGCTTTGCAACACCCAACTTATAAACAGAAGTTGGGCTGGGGATGGGGCCAAAGTTAGGAGTGGTAGTTCATAAACACACAGTTTTTGAGAACTAATTTTAAGTAAGCCCCTGATATTAAGAAGTAAGGGGGATTAAAATATGGGAAATAAGGCCCGCCAATATGTTTTTCTATTTTCCAGTACATCAAAATATTATCATTTTAACATGCAATCACCAAAAATTAATGAGCTAGTTTACATTCTTTCTTTGGATTATTTAGCACGCAGGTGTATTTCACACTTAGAGCATGTGCACAGTCCAGTTCGAACTAGCCACCTTTGGAATGCTCCTTAGCCACCCAAGAACAGCGTTGCTGTCAGGCGTCTGCCAGACATTTGATTTGTGGCCCTCCGGAATTGCAAGGGTTAACCTGGGGCCTGCTAGGGTCCGGGTGAGACAGGCAGTCTAGGGACTGGGCTGTGGGAATCGTTCTCCCCTGCCCTGCAGAGTCACATGGGAGTTGTAGGCCTCAGCCCCGGGGAGCACGCCGGGAGTTGTAGTCCGCACCCGCCAACCGCCGGGTGTGCGCGTCATGGCCGTCGGCACCGCGGTCCCGTCCGCTTCCGCTTGGCCCCAGAAAGTTTCGATTCTGCCCGGCGGTGGACCCAAGAGCGCGTAAGTGCCGCAGGAGACCAGCTGGACTCTGGGGGAACCTGGGTCGCTAACGACCCCGGAGCCGAGAGCTTCGCTTGGGGCGCGACTTGTCACCTGCTGTCCTTACCGTCCCCGCCCATCCCAGGTCTCCCTCAGACCCTGCCCGAGCCCCCGCGTCCTTGCCCAGCGGGCCGGGAAGCACCTCTGGCCGGTGGAAGCTGGTCCTGGCACTTAGCCTGCCTCTGTTGGTCGGTTAAAAAGGAAGACCCCAAACACCAGTTCCAAGACCCCGGACGGCCGAGGGGCCGCAAAGGAAAGGAGCCCACCTTGCGGCGTCTTAGAACAAGCCTGGGTCCCTTAGCACAGGATGGGGCAGGCCCCCGAGTTCCTGCCTGCGTGGTCTTTAGGAAGCTTAGTTTCTGGCCCAACTGGGCCGGGACAGCCCAGACCTTCACTTTGCAAGACTCCGCTGGTGCTCGGAACTCTCCTCTCTTCCCAGGAGGTGACTCTTCGTTCTTCCCGGCCCATCCTTTGGCCAAAGTCCATTCACTACCCACCGCCCCTTGTGCCCATGTGCGAGGTCTCGAGATAGCCCCCGGTCCCTTTTTCTGAAACACCTGTTGTCTCTGATGTGGCGGCACTGCATTGGACTGGAGTCCGTGCTGTTGAAACCTGAGAAACCTGCGGTGGAGGCGGGGGCGGGACGGCGGAGAGGATGGTGGAATTTTATGTGTCGTAGGAAAAGCACCTGTGGTTGACACCTTAACCGCGTGGCTCTCTGTTAATGCACATGTATCCCCTGATGTCCCTGTCGGTTAAAAAGGAAGACCCCAAACACCAGTTCCAAGACCCCGGACGGCCGAGGGGCCGCAAAGGAAAGGAGCCCACCTTGCGGCGTCTTAGAACGAGCCTGGGTCCCTTAGCACAGGATGGGGCAGGCCATCTCTTCACTGTTCCCATTGGGTGTCCCTCTAGAAAAAAAAACAAAAATAAAAAATAGAGCACAGGTTGAAACTGCCTGTGTTGGCCACAGCCTCGCAGCCCCTATGCTTGTCTTACCACAGCAGTTTCCTTTCCCGACAGAGAAATGGGTCAGGGGCTTTTAGGGGGCAGAGGATCCAGGGCTTAATCTGCTCACTGCTTCTCCTGCCCCTGCAGGCCTTGTGGTCTCTGGCAGCAAGCTTAATTCTCCTGCCATCTGCCTAATGCAGCTAGAGGGTGTTGGGGGCTGGTGTGGGGGAGGGGTGGAGAGCTGGCGCTATCACGCCAAGGTTTTCTGTTTTCAGTACTTCCCACCTCCTGAAGCAGACCCCTGTTGAGTGGGCTCCACTTGACCCTCCCTTCTGTGACAGCCACTGTTCTGAAAGCATTGAATGCCCCATACTAGTTGTGCACCATGGTTGTTATAACCCTGGCAATAGCTAATTGTCATAGTGATGGATCTCAGCCTTCTTTGATTAGTAGGATCTTTCCTAAAGGCTCTTGCTTAAGAAATAGAGTTTATCTGTTTATGTTTGAAGTGTCTATGTGTAGCACTTCATTTATTTTTAAAATTGTTTTTAACATTTTATTAGAAAAATAAACATATAGACTCACTGAAAGAATTGTACAGTGAATATCCATATAATCAATTATTAATATTTACTTTGTGGGTTTTTTTTTTTTTTTGTCATTGCTTTAGAGACTAGTAACAGTCTCCAGTAGTGTTTGGGTGACTTCTGCCCCTTGAGGCTGGGTTTGGAGCACCAGTATGATTTCAGGAGCCAAGTTGTTAACCTGATCCTTTTTGAGGGGGATGGCTCCCACAGATGTTTGTGATAAGAGGAACCACCCGTGACAGAGCAAAATTGGAGCAGCTGGTAGCTTTGAACCATATTGGTCGCCAAGGCTGTGGGCTGCTGGCTCAAGAATACGAGTAGGTATGCAAGAAATGGCAGCTCCCAGGCCCTCACCCACACTGCTTCCCTTTAGGGGAGAAGTTTAGCTGATGGGTAACTTTTGTTTACTGAAGATTCCGAAGGCACAGCTTTGATGACTCAAGACCAGAATGCCTTTAAACATGAGGCAGAGGAATTATGTTGTCTAGCTGTGGTCTCATGGTGGAAACCACGTGTAGGCACCCAGAGTTAGGAGCCACATTCACTTCAAGCAGCCCTAGGCAGCAGGTAGGGGTCATTAACTGGTGCCTGTGATTACAGAGGCAACTTGTAAGCATGGATGAGTCCATTATGACCAGGGCAACATCTAACTGCTGTGTTCCTGTCTTAGTCAAAAGATAAACAGTATTTTGTTTGTGATCTCAATGCCAGTTTCCAGAAAATAAGAACTCTTGATTGGTAGAAGAGCCTCTATTTGAACAATTAAATAAATCAATAAGGTGGGAATTGGAATGCTTCTGAGGGTCTACCTATGGAAATATTGTTTACCTTCTTGTTGTTTATTGATACATTACTAAAAAAGGCTGAAATATCTGTACTAGCCCCATAACAAGAGCCATTGCCTCAGAGAAGACAGGCCCCATGGCTTTGAGAAGAGGAGGATGGCAGAAGCTGTGCTCAGTTGGGCAAGAGCAGTTTATCCCTTTCTTCTAACATTGGAGCCAGTCAGCCTGCTGGTTTCGGTAACTTCCAATAGTCCTTCCCGTTCACTTGGGTGTCTGTGGCATTTGAAAGACACCAAGGACTGGGTGTCTCATTAGGCCGGATGCCATTTGGAGGATGTGTACATCAGTGTGGTTCTGACAAAAGACTTAAGGAGAATCTGTGGTTTGGTTACAGTATTGTGGCCCTGTGGCTAGTTCTGGGGCCCAAGGACTGATCTGGCCAACCACCTTAGGATTCTGTAGTACTGTACCTTAGGCCAGTGCCAGGAAACTGAGTTAGGGGAAGTCCTTAGCATACAAAAGAAAAGCTTGGACCAAAAAAAGCATTCCAGGAAAACCATTAGCATGCAGGAAGCAAGGCGGAGAGAAGAATCCCTATGTGAAGTCCAGGATAGGGCTGGTCAGCTGAACCAGAAGCGGTGGTTTAAAATGGAGCTGGAAGGAATTTCCTGAAGTTGAACCTGCAGATGCTTTTTCCAGGGTATCTGTAGACTTGGTCAGGAGCAAGAAGGGGACACTTAGAAGCCTTAGCCAAAGTTAGCCGCTGAGAATGTCTGTTATCCCCCTTTCCCAAGTCCTTTAAGAGTAGCGATTCTTAATTCATTGACATGAAGGAGGATTACCCCCCAACATTGCATCTGAAAAAAGAAAGGTAAGAAGAGGTCAAATGACTTCCCCAGGACAGACAGAGTGCCTAAAAATGGTTGAATAAGCTAAATATACCTTGGGTCTTGCCCAACCGTGGCATGATCTTTGTTGCATTATTTGTTGTGTAAATACATAATGGAAAGTTCACGTAACTAGTCTGATTCCAAAATCTAAATAGGGTCCAAATTGACAAAACTTAGCTACCGCTGATAAGAGAGAAGAAAATATCTTGCTCGTTGCTCCAGCTCCAGCTTCCGAGCCATCCTGGGTCTTCCTTGTCCCTCTCATTTACAGCGTAGCCCCACCCCCTGCCCCTCTGCACCCAGGCTGGCACTGCTGTTGTCATGCTCCTCCCCAAAAAGTGTGGCAGAACCCAGGCCCACCAGGACCTCCCCTCCCCAGGTTGCCTGGTTGATAGTGTCAGATGCACACTTTCGGGAATGAAGAGAGAGGAGCCTTGGGAGGTGTATAGTGCTAGGGCTGCCATAACAAAATACCACGGACTGAGTGGCTTAAGCAACAGAAATGTACTTTCTCACAGTTCTGGAGGCTGGAAGTCCCAGATCAAGCCATTGGCAGTTTTGGCTTCTCCTGAGGCCTTTCTCGTTGGCTCTCAGACAGCCGCCTTCTTGCTGTGTCCTCACGGGCCTTTCCTCTGTGCCCATGCATCCCTGGTATCTCTTGTGTGTGTCCAGAATTCCCCTTATAAACTCACCAGTCTTTGGATTCGGGCCCACTCTCATTGCTTCATTGAATCTTCATTACCTCTTTAAAGGCCGACTTCAAATGCAGTCACATTCTCAGGTATAAGGGTTAGGGCTTCAGCATTGGAATTCGGTGGGGTGGAGTGCACAATTCAGCCCCTGACAGGAGGTGTGGGTTAGTGGGGTTGTTTGTGAGGGTGGCGGTGCTTTTCACTGTCCAGGATGGGGTGACGGAGGCTGTGGATAAGTCTTCCTTGGGAACCAAACTGGTTTACACTTCCTCCTGTCCGTACGAAACCCAGACATACTGAAGCCACTGGCCAGAGGAAGATGTAGGGAGCATGAGCCGGGCAGGGCATGACCTTGGCAGAGGGAGCAGAGCATCCAAACTCCAGAGGCAGGGCCTAGCCACAGAAGGGCAGTATAGGGAGGCCCAAACACGGCAGGAGGAGGGGAAGGAGGAGGGACAAGAGGACGGGCCTATCCCTATCAAGGTCAGGAAACCCATCTGTCAAGGGCCTCACAAGCTGGATTAAGAGATTTGTGCACATGTCTGACAGCAGTCACCTGAGCTCTCAGGACACCAGAGGTCTGTTTATAAATAGAAGTTAGGTAGGCAGTGTGGAGTAGACATACTTCATCCATCCCTGAATTATATTACTCTATTCACTCTTGGAATAATAGCTCACAGCATTTTTACAATAATTACAACATAATGTTCACAATTTGTACATGGTGTTTAAAGTGCATTATTTCGGCGAACATAAATATAATTTATGCTTAACAAAGGAAAATTGAAAAATCAGAGAAAGAATTTAAAAATGTGCTCATGTTGCCGCCATTGAAAGGTTAGTGGTATTTACATCTTGGTATGTTTCTATGCCTCAAAGTTTAGTTTGGTTTGTGGAGCAAGGATCTATGTGTTTTGTTTTGTCTAATTCATTCATTCATTCATTTATTCAGCAGTAATTTATTGAGGGCTTTTCATGTGCCAGAACTGTGCTAGGGGAAACAGCAATGGAGTTTACAGACAAGTGAAAAGAACAGAGATTCAACAAAAAATTACCATTACGGCAAATGGCCCTGGAAGCCACGGAAGTATAGCATGAGACTCTGCAGTAAGGGCTGAGAATCATGAGTGGAGTACAGTCTGGTACCTTGCATGTTCATTTGTTCTCATCAAAGCACTTACCAGGCCTCAATTGCTCTTTCTTACTTGGTTGTAAGTTTATTGGGGTATATGTTATCTGTTTCTCCCACTGAGCCTGAGTTCCTTTAAGGCCAGAGCTCCACCCACCGCCCCTTTTCACACCTGTATCCCCAGCTCTTGGTTCAGGCTTGCCTCTTCATAGTGCTGCCAAAAAATACCTTTTACCTGGCTGGCAGTTTGTTAGCACATAGAAGTTGCCTGCTGCTTTCTCAAGGCTGTGTTTTGTGGCTGTGTCATATTCCATCAGAGATTCACTTCTTAGTCCATAACTGGCTGGGTTGACCCCTTTGACACTTCAGTCAAGAGAAGTCTCAGAGCATATAAATTTGGAGATCTGTAGTTTTTCCCCATGTAGGTGGGGCCTGTATTCTTTGGGGCAGGAGTAGATGCATCAGTTGAGTTCTCAATTATTGATGCAGTTGTTCCAGAGACTGCCCAAATTCTCATGCCTGTCATTGTCACCTCCTGGATATTTTCTCAGCCCCACAGCCTCAAGTATAGAGGTGTGGCTCCTCCCTTGATCAGCCACCCACCTCACTAAAAAAAAAAACACTTGGCTTCCCCCAGATTCAAAAGCAACCCCTCAGAGCCCTCGAAGCCCTGTTCTCTGGGGTCCATGGACTAGAATAGTGGCCGTTTTGTATGTGTTCTGGTGGAGCAACCAGGGAACCTGCTATTGTTGGTGGAACAGAGGGGACCAAGAGAAGTTTCAAGAAGCTATAATAAAGCCTCAAGTTCTCATTCCCTTTAAGAGAGAAGATGACAAGAAGGAGTGTTTGGGAAAGATGACCCAGGCATGCAGTGGCTTAACACTTTAATCATAGGTCCAAGGGGTTGGGTCACCTAATGAGTCTTTGTTCACGTGTGCTGAAATACCTGCCTCTGAGCTGGCCTCTGGCAAACTCCGGAGCACTCTCCTAGCCACCCTCTCGAAGCTCTGGGGAGGGCAGTCTGCCTGCCCACTGATTGTTCCAGCGCTGGGCCAGCAGGACCTCCGGGCCTTTGAAACTGCAGGTACCAGCCAAGTGCCTCCCTTTCTGTAGGTGGTAACTAGATATAGATGCCACTGGGTGTGCTGAACCAGGCCTAGGCAATGGACTCTTCCAGAAAGGCTTTTCTGCCTTTTTATCTGTCCTTGTCCTTAACATTCTTTCTTGGTCAGGGGAGAATTTACAACTGGTATGCTCCTCCTTATTTGGGACTGGGGGAGAAATACAACTGTAAGGAGCCCTCTCTAGGTCAGCCCTTAGCTATTGTGTTGGGAGCAAAATTTTGAAGGCGGAGAAAGGTTGACTTCCACGCCTCCAACCTCCTCCTCCCCCGATGATTCTTCTTTCCTTGTGTGGCAACTCAGATGTTATTATTGTTGCTGTCTGAGCCAGTTTCTGGGCAATATTATGAGTATTAGTCACTTGCACTGTAGTGCAAATAAGTTTACATGAGTCAGTCAGCATCTCTGTGTCTTTGACTACACCGCTGTTGCTATTGTTTAAGGCATTGAGGGCATCTGGGCAGATATTTTTAAAACTTGGAGGTCAGAGAACATCGTTTACCTCTAAAATGATACCTAGGTCATGACTAAGAACTCATACACTGGTACCAAGTGAAAAATAAGAATTTTTTAAAATGCAGTGAGTCCCTTTTCCTCTTTATTAGAAAATTGGATGTTTTCAGACATTTTGGATAGACTTAAACGTAATTTTGAGTTGTTGGCAAGGAAATCCAGTACTTCCAAAGATTGTATAAAACGGATTTCTCTGCTGTTTAGAAGAGCCTGTCAGAGACAATGATGAAGGTTTTTACATGTTGTGCAACAAGGACTGGGTTTATGAGGTGATTGACACACTGCGGGGTCCTGTGAGGTGTGTGAGTCCCAGAGTCCTTACCCTGGTGCTGAAGCAGCCATGGGAGTGTGTACAGAGCTTTGAGTGTCTCCTGAGTTGGGAGAGCTGTTTGCCAATGGATTATAGATGTCAGGATCAGGCTGGTTCAGGCCAGGAGTCTATGATCCCTCAATGAAAGGGCAAGCTTACCTAGAGACACAAGAAAGTTGATCATGTTTGGAGAGAGATCATGCCGATTCTTTGCCTTTTGTTGTGGTTAATAATGACCTCAGACCAAGACTGAGGAGCAAGGGAAGCAAGCTGCTGAGTCCATGAAAATAGCATCCCCATGGTGACTATGTTCTCTATGGAAGCTCTGATTTACTTCCTGAATCCCTGTGAGGTGGGGAAGAGTCAGAGTGGGGAAGCCCACCACGCCCCACAGGCCTGGCATGCAATTTCTTAGGGCCCATGACCCTGGTGGTAACACAGCCTCTTTGGAAAGTCAGTTTGTGTAATCAGCGGCTGGGAACAGCTCACCCCATGACCTGGGAACTTGACACCAGTGGAGAGCACACTCGGAAGATCAGACTGACAAGGCCTCCTGCTTTGGGCTGACACAGGGGCAGTGTCACGAAAGCACCAAGAATTCTTAAAGGAGCATATTGCTGTCTGTGTTCAGGCTCATGAAGCCAAGATACTGGTTTGGGTTTGCAGACATTGTTTCCCTTGTGCCAGACTCCAGTTAAGTCTGGTTTCCAGAAAATCCAGCTGGTTGTGTGGTTCCTCCCTTGTCCTGGCCGCAGCCTGGAAGAGCTACTCAGGATCTGTTGTTGCTCTCACCTCCTTCCCAGCCTCCACCCTCTCCACAGACATGGTCTAGAAGTGTACACACAGACCTGGTGGGCTGCATCTGAAGGCTCACAGGGCATCACTCCAGTCATCTTCCTCCAGGATTATTTCTCTCAGAAACCGCAAGCTCCTCTGTGTTGGCAGTAGTCAAATAAGAGTAATGCAGCTAAAGAAACAGCCTTTACTCTTGTGTGCCTCCGCCCCGGTATCCTTTCCTTCTTGGCTCTCTCCAGTGACCTCCTGTTCATTTTTTTTTTTTCTTTGAGACGGAGTTTCGCTCCTGCTACCCAGGCTGGAATGCAATGGTGCCATCTCAGCTCACCGCGAACTCCGCCTCCTGGGTTCAGGCAATTCTCCTGCCCCAGCCTCCCGAGTAGCTGGGACTACAGGCACACACCACCATGCCCAGCTAATTTTTTGTATTTTTAGTAGAGACGGGGTTTCACCAAGTTGACCAGGATGGTCTCGATCTCTTGACCTCGTGATCCACCCGCCTCGGCCTCCCAAAGTACTGGGATTACAGGTGTGAGCCACCGCCTCCTGTTCATTTTTTAGGCCTGGCCATCACAGAATGTCCACCACTTCTCCCTTCCTCAAGGAGAACTTAATTTTCCCTTCCTCAGATCCCATTGGATTTTTTTACAAATTCATCACAATGCTGCTTTTTTATGAGATATAATTTACAGTTATATGAGTTGTGACAAGTATATGTTTGTCAAATACATGTAGTCACGTAACCATCACCGTAATCAAGGCACCAAACAGAATTGCCTCCCAAATTTCCCTGTGCTCCTTTGTAGTCAGACCCTCCCTTCTCCCCTAGGCTCTGGAGCCACTGATGTGATTTCTCTCCTAATAATTTGCCTTTGCCAGAATCGCATATAAATGGGATTGCACAGTTGTCATGGTTTGAGAATCTTTCTTAACTCAGCACAGGGCATTTCAGATTCCTCCATGTCATTTTGTATACCCATAGTTCCTATCTTCTCAGAGCTGAGTACCCATGACTTTTTATCTGTATCTCTATGGGGGCCTCTTCCACTGTATCTGGATATGTGATATTTTTCCATCTGTCTCCTTGATGGGTAGCCAGGTTCCTCCATGGCTGGAATGTGTTTTGTGTGCCTCTGTATCCCCAGCCTGCACATAGTAGGCACTTGATGGAATGTGCTGGAGCAGCTGCGTGTTGATCATGGAGGTCCTTATCCTCTCTGGCTCTCTCTAGGGTCCCAGCTGGTCCCTGCTCAGGCCCTGTGTTCAGCAGGTGACCTGGAGAGACACCCAGGGATAGGCAGGCAGGCTTCTCATAAAGCACTCCTACCCTCAGTTTGGTGTCCCTGATGGGTGGGTGCCAACATTTGTTGGGAGGTTCAGGGGGTTGTCTGTGGATCCCCTGAAGCTCTTGTCTCTGGCACTCATGAATTCCTAGGACTGCAGTACAGGCATGTGTCTGACTGCTTCCTTCCTCCAAAGCCAGAGAAGCCCTCTTTGGGCCTTGTTTGCACTGAGTCACAGCTACCCTGGCTAGTTAGTTAAAAATAGGTTCTCATTATCTCTGCCCTGTGATAGGCCCTTCTCTCCTCGGACAGAGGCAGGAATCCTTATGTAAATATTTGGAGGAGCTTGTGCCTGGGTTGATTTTCATGCCAGGATCTGCTTGCCTGGACTCCTGGAGCTGTGAGGGTAAGGTGGCAGTGGGAGAAAGGTGGCATATGTTAGAACACTTAGGGTGTTCACATTACTTGGAAGACCCTGGACTTCATGGTGGTACCTCAAGCCAGTGGAAGTGGTTGGTCATTTGCAGTAGTGACAATGCCTTAGTCTTAAAAAGTCAGTATTGGAAAAACCATCAGATTCGAAATCAGACTGACCACAATTCAAACCTGTGATTGCTCGTCTTACTCGCCTGTGGCCTTAAAGAAGTTACATGACTCCTCTGAGCATCAGTTTCTCCTTTGTAAACAGGGACGATGTTATCTACTCCACCAGAGTGATTTTAAGAATTAAAAGCGATCATGTGTGTAAAGCACGTAACAGCCCTACACACAGTAGGCCCTCATTTAGTACTGGCTGCCGCCACAGCCATCTCTAGTCTTGCTGTCTACTTGGCCAGCAAACACTACAACTTTGCACTGGATAACTAAGGGAAGAATTAAAGGTTCTGAAAGGATGTAGAAATGTCCAGATGTCTTTCCAGACCTCTTTCCAACGTGCTTACATCGCTTTAACTTCTGTTGGCCTTCAGCCCTACAGTTAAACCACTTCAACAGCTGCCCAAGTAGGGCTGATAACTCAGGAGTCACCAGCTGGGAGAGGACTGTAACTGAGCTTAAAAATAGAGCTGCGTCCTTTGCCTGGTATGGGGGCTGTGCAGGCCTCTGGAGAAAAGGCCAGGCAGCATCTGCATACCCAGGCTGAGCTGGACTCTGGGGAGCTGGAGGCTGCAAACCTCCCAGGACCCTGCCAGGCAAGCCTGAATCCTTGGTCCAGAAGCCCTGAGGGTATGTGTCAGCCTTTCCCCCCAGCACTGCCTGGCTAGAGACTAACCGTTCTTTAGAGAAAGAAAGGCTGGAGTGGACGTGGGGCCGGCTGTCAGGGAGATGGGGATCCTGAGGCTTAGTGGAGCTGTCTGAAGCTGAGCTGCACTTGTTCTATCTAGGGAATGGAGGGAGCTACTGGGTAGCTTTTTAAAGGAAAGTAAGACAGTCCTATCTATGGTGAATGGAAAGTGCGCTCAGAAAGGATAGGTGGCAATATAATTGATTTAATTTCTTGTTAAGCCCCAAACAAGGTCACTGTGTCTGAATATAAGTGTGTCAGAAACAAACCCGAGAGTGCCCATGGAGCAAAGGCCCACACAGAAAGGTCAAGCCTCTTGTTGAGGGAATACACCCAGATAGGGCGGCCTTTGTGCTCAAAGCAGAGTTCCTCTAATATTGTCTTTAAATTGTGTTTGTGTCTGCTTCCTCCGTGGCTTACTCTTCCCCCGTGCAGGTGCCACCATGGAGTCTAACCACTGCTGAGCAGACAGCCACAGGAGGGCCGAAGTTCTGAGCCTTCCTCTGGACCCAGGCAGGAGACACACAGCCAAGAAAGGCAAACTCACCATGGCTTCCACCAATGCAGAGAGCCAGCTCCAAAGAATCATCCGAGACTTGCAAGGTATGGTAGGTTGCTAAGCAGACTGAGTTTGGTCTTAAGGGACTTGTGGCTGTGCTTTTTGCTGTTGCCAGTTGAAATTCAACTCTTTCATTTTTGTTCACGCCAGGAGTAATTGGAGTCTTCAGCTCACATCATACTGAAATAGTTGGGGCTCACATTATCCACTTTGTGTAAGGCTTGGAAAGCTTGCCTGCTTTCCTTTCAGAGGACTGTACAGCCAGTTTGTAAACAAAATCATACACCCTGCTCCAGGACTGGGTCTGATTTCCATTAGTGCACATATGTGTGTTTTCAAGCTGCCAGTTAAGTCTTTGGCTAAATCCCAAACTTCTGGGCTCTGATGAAGTCAGTTCCTTTGGGAAAGATTGTTGTTTCTCCCACTGAGCAGGAAGAACACAGACCTACCTGTCTTGTTTTGCTGCCCCACCAGGTCCTGGCTGGTGGACGGCACATTGCCTGGGATTTACTCTAGGTCCAGGCTTGCTGCCTCCCGGACTTCCCTGAGCTCAGCATTGTTCACTAAGAGAGGCTATGACTTGTATTCCTCATCTCACTGGAAAAAGCAAGGCAGAGGAAGGTGCAGATAAAGCTTCATAGACTTAGAAGAAACGGACTAATTTGTTTTTGGCTGCAAATTCCAGGTTTCACCCTTTCAAATGCTGTCTCAGGGGTCAGAATTTTTATGTTTTCCGTCCTAACTCATCACCAGTGCTGATCTTTAAGCTCTTCAGAGCTCTAGCACACTTGATACTACACAGTCTGAAGCTGACCACTTCCTCCATGCCTGCAGAGTCTGCTGTGACACTTTCCTGACATACTAAAGACCCAGGCTCCTAACTGCTTGGACACCATGAGCAGTTATCTCCTGTACCAGGAGCCACTGGCCTACCACAGACACAATGCAGTCCTCATTCTGAAGTTTCAAAGTCAACAAGATAAAAGACACTTTCTCAGGCTTTTGATCTTGCATCTGCTCTGCCTTGGGCCTCTGATAGCTAGCAATTACATGGCATTTCCTGTGCACCCAGGACTCTTCTGCACATGTCTTACAGATAATAACTCATTGAGTCCTCATGTTTGATCCTATGAGCAAGACACCATTATGATTCCCATTTTGCAGTTGAGGAAACAGGCATAGGGAGATTAAGTAACTTGCCTAAGGTCACACAGCCAGTCAAGAACAGAGCTTGGGTTTCTGTACCGCTAGCCTGGCACCAGTCTATGCTCTTTTTTTTTTTTTTCTTGAGACAGAGTTTTGCTTTTTGTTGCCCAGGCTGGAGTGCAGTGGCACCATCTCAACTCACTGCAACATCTGCCTCCTGGGTTCAAGCAATTCTCCTGCTCAGCCTCCCTAGTAGTTGGGATTACAGGTGCCTGCCACCATGCCCAGCGAATTTTTTGTATTTTTAATAGAGACAGGGTTTCACTATGTTGGCCAGACTGGTCTTGAGCTCCTGACCTCAGGCAATCCACCTGCCTCAGCCTCCCAAAGTGCTGTGATTACAGGCATGAGCCACTGTGCCTGGCTCCAGTCTATGTTCTTAACCACTCTAGTCTACTTTTAGCTACGATGTTAGATGCTTTTTAAAATCTACACAGAGAGGCAGAGAAAGTAAAATGCCAGTCTCTGCAAATCTGAGTTTGCCATTGGCCTTAAGAAGTCTCTCCATTTCTATGTTTCAGTATCTGGTTCTTGAGGATAACTTTGAGACCTGGAGGTCCTTATTGGGAGGGAAGAAGGTGAAAAGGGGACTCTCAGGTAGAACTTCTGATCTAGACCATTGTCTATCCCATTCACTGGCTGAGTCTGGCCACCTCCAACATCCTGGGCTGGTTTCCATGTTCTTTACATAGAGCACTTTGGTGGGAATTCTTGAAAGGTGCTACTTTCTCAATACCCTCCACTTTTATCGGTTGGTAAATGTCTTTTTCGGTTTTTTTGAGACAGAGTCTTGCTCTGTCCCTCAGGCTAGAGTGCAGTGGCATGATCTCGGCTTGCTGCAACCTCTGCCTCCTGGGTTCAAGTCATTCTCTTGCCTCAACCTCCTGAGTAGCTGGTATTACAGGCACCTGCCACCGTGCCTGGCTAATTTTTGTATTTTTTTTTTTTTTTAGTAGAGACGGGGTTTCACCATCTTTTCAGGCTGGTCTCGAACTCCTGACCTTGTGATCCACCCGCCTCAGCATCCCAAAGTCCTGAGATTACAGGCATGAGCCACTGCACCTGGCCAGTAAATGTCTTAATAAGCATACAAATTTCTGGCATCTACCATGAGAGTGGTATGTCCTTAATTCAGGCGCCTTTGTGTGGTACACAGCCTTTAATCCTCTGTAGGGCAGCCCACTCGTCCTCTTGGTAACAGCGGTTTCAAGGACTTTGGAGTCAGGGGTGTCCTCAGCTTCTGGCTTCTCTTTTAACCTTTAAAAATGTTGGACAAGTCCCCTCACCTTTTCAGTGCACAGTTGCTTCCTTCATGTGCCAGGTGGGTTTGATGATAACACCCACTTCTCAAGATTATTGAAAGAATCAAATAGTAATTCCTGTAAAGCTAACATTATTTAAAGTATCAGAGATTAGAGCTGAAAATTTCATGTTTCGTGTCCAGAGTCTCCTCCTTCAAAGTTTCAGAAGTTCCCAAATCAGGTTGCAAGTGTTTACTTGGGCTGAGGAGGAAGGAGGGTGGAGGAGGAAGGCCCTGTGTCTCTCCCAGGCCGCTGGCTCACTGGTCATCAGTGCCAGCCATTGCAGACACTTCTAGGAAGGTACACCTGGGCAATCCCTGCCTCTCAATGCCATGTTAAATGAAAGAAATACATGTAAAGGCCTAGCCCCTCAAGGACACTCAGTTAGCAAACGCAGATGTGGTTGTCGTTGTTGGAATTGTGATTTTTATTACTATTATTTGCACATACTGGCTATTCTGATCCTGCACTTACCTATACTGAGCAGTAGGGTTATAGTGAAGGTACACCATTCACTTGTAAGCATCAGTCCAAAGAACCTGTCTCCACCATTTGCTAAGCATTGCCTGAGAGGCCAGTGTTGATTACATTTTCAGCCATCTTAGGCTCTTCGGTTCTGGACAGGTCTGCTTCAAACCATTGTTCTTGGGAGCAAGGGTTAGGAATCTAAGAATTGCCAGAGGAGCAGATAGTTTTTTCAAGCACATCCCAACCATCTCAACTAGGGAAATGTTTCCCAGGGTCTAAACCAAATCCAGTTTTTTGATAGTCCCTCTGTCTCACAGCAGAGGCAGTGAGTGAGAGTCAAAGGTGGGTTTCCCTCTTTTCTGCACAGGGAAGTCAATTCTCTTAGAAGTTAAGGGGTGGGATCTGGAGTTAGAAATCCCTTGAGAAAACCAGGGTTCTTAATTTAGCTCTACTGTTTGCCATCCATGATCTTTGGCCAAGTGCTCTGATTTCTCTGTGCACTCATTATCTGCAAAATGGGAATAATCATAACAGACTTCATAGATTCTAGATTGTACTTTTTTTTCACATTTTAACAGCTCTGAAACCAGAATGTGTCTTATAATCAGTTGCATCTTAGTTTCATTGAAATAAGAATCCCTGCCTCTCAATGCCATGTTAAATGAAAGAAATACATGTAAAGGCCTAGCCCCTCAAGGGCACTCAGTTAGCAAAAGCAGATGTGGTTGTCATTGCTGGAATTGTGATTATTATTACTATTATTTGCACATACTGGCTATTCTGATCCTGCACTTACCTATACTGAGCAGTAGGGTTATAGTGAGGAACAAGAAATATGGCTAGAATAAAGGTTAAAGCTTTCTGCAAGCCAGTATTTGGGGACTGAATGATTCATTCACACAGCAGACATTTGTTGACCAACTACTATATGCAGATTACCAGCCCTGGGTGGTGGACAGACAAGGGTGAACAAGAAATGTACCCAGTCAACAAGCATTATAAAGTATCTCTGGGCTCTCAGGACATTTCAACACTCCTGACTTGGAGTTATATCTCATGGATATGTTTCAGAGGTGCTTTGTATCACTGACCACTTATTTATCATGCTTCCTGAGTTATTCCTGCTTCTCTTTCTGAGTTTAGTCACTATCTGGTTACATGTTCCTGTTTGTTGTCTTAAAGATGCTGTGACAGAACTAAGCAAAGAATTTCAGGAAGCAGGGGAACCCATCACGGATGATAGCACGAGCTTGCATAAATTTTCTTATAAACTTGAGTATCTTCTGCAAGTAAGTGAGGCCTGTAATATGTTGATTTTTGCACTGCTGTCTTCTTTTCTCCCTCTTTGGGTGACTCATCAGCATTCAAGATACGGTTCAGAAAGCCCAAGGAGCCAGTAAGCCTTCGTGGTTAGATGGAAGGTCAGAGCAGTCCCCGGTACGAGCTCAGTCTTCCAAGTGTGATTCTCTGGGGAATTGCAATGTTGCCCCTCAGATGGCTTTGAGAATCAAGAATCTTTAGAGATTTAGGTCATTATAAGGTAGGTCAGAAGGTTATAGTATGGCAAGGATCTTAATTTCGGGGCAGTTACATACCCCTTTGGGAGTTTAGTGAAAGCTATGGAGTCTTCCCAAAAAGACATTTGTGTATATATATATATATATATGTGTATATATATATATATATATGTGTATATATATATATGTACACTCAATCATGCATTTTTGCAGGCAGAGTCTAAGACTCTGTGGACCCTCTAAAGATTATCCGTGGGCTTCTGTTTTAGAGTTTTGCCACTCAATGTGCAGTCCATGGACCGGCAGCATCAAGCTCCTCTGGGAGCTTCTTAGTATTACATTCTTGGCTCCCACCCCAACCCTACTGAATCAGGATCTCTGGGGTCACCCCAGGATGTTTTCTTTTAACGTATAAATGGTATACCTCTTATCCCTGCTTAGCTCAAAAAGCGCGGATGTGGAGAACACTGCAGATGTGGAAAAATGCATGCAACTAAAATAGGCAGGAAGAAAATGCTCTAGAAGTTATTTTAGGGTAGTGGTATTAGGTGTTAAAAATTTTTTCTATTTTTTTGTTTGGTTTTATCTAGTTGTCCTAATAACATATGCATGTCTTGCTTCTGTAATCAGAAAACATACTATAAAATATTGCAGAAAGATATACTATATCACTGTGGACACCGTTATTTTGCAGCGTCACATCCCACCAAAGCATGTAGTATGTGGGCCCACTAGAGGAAAGGCCCCTAACATGCTGAAGGCCTTGCCTCTCTCATGCCATTTTAACTGGTTCTTTAACATCGTAAAAATGTTTTTGAGCCTTTCTTTTTTTCAATTAAGCCCATTCTGGTTTTGGATTTGAAATGACTCAGAGCTGACATTAATTTAAATGTATTGTAGGTATTTGAAAAGGTATTGAAACTTACGAGTTGAGTAATTGGGATAAAGTGTCATTATCTTATTTCCCTAAGTCAAAGCATAGTGAACACTCTTCATATTGCCCTTAAGACTCTTTTCTTGTACTTATTTCTCATCTGTTAATAACAACTTTGGTGGTGTTCCACCTAACTGTATGAACAGGCAGACCTTGATTTGCCAATAAATAAAAATAATGCCAATAAAGGGTCTCACCCAGTGCTGGTGCCAAGAAGCTATTGTTATTATTTATCATTTGAATGCTGGGATAAAGAGCAGTGGGTTTGGACCTCCTTTCCCTGTCTCTTTCCCCACTCAGTTTGATCAGAAAGAGAAGGCCACCCTCCTGGGCAACAAAAAGGACTACTGGGATTACTTCTGTGCCTGCCTGGCCAAGGTGAAAGGAGCCAATGATGGGATCCGATTTGTCAAGTCTATCTCTGAGGTAAGCTGAGTGGAGCAGCCAGCAACTTTGTGTCTTCCTTTTGCCTGCTTGAAGCAGCTCTTGCCGGGACCTTTGCCACGGACAGCTAAATGAGGAAGTGGGAGTTTATGAGGGGTAAAGAAATCTAGTCAAGGTATACTCAACGCCCATTGTTGCAGTGGCTCAAGCTTGGGGAAACCACTTCAGGGAGTGTTTACCAAGAGGAAGAATGCTGAGTCCTGAATGTACCTTAGGCCACAACCTACATGTTACCTAACAGGGTGGCCTGTTCACATTGTAAGTCTGCTAATGGCAGCCTTTGAGGTGTGCAGCATAGGATAGCTCCATCTTTTTAAAAAAACTCATTTTCTTAGATAAATTTTTAGAGTTTGCTAGGCTGCTCTCCCTACAGTTTGCCCAGGAAACTTAGATTTGAAATGAGAATGATGTGGGATCTCAAGAGACGTTTCTTAAAATAGTGATGAAAGTTTCTTAAAACTTTCAACAAATACAAACACATACTTCACGTACACACTCACACTCTCCTCTCTGCTTATTTTCCACCCTCAACCCCCAGAGAGTCTTTCTTCTCTCTCATCAGCCTTGTCCATCCAAGAGTGAAGAACTTTGCCTATCAGGGAGCAGGTAAACCCCTAGATTTAGGACAGGAAGTTTGTACATTTCATCTTTCTTTTCAGTATCTCTTCAGTAAGTATGAAGTCACTTTAAAGTCAACACACCTGCTGCTTGGCTGGCTGCCCACAAATGCCACAGCCTTAGGTATTCTGGGAAGGGCTCCTGACCAACCACACCAGCTGTAGCTGGATGACTTTCTTCTTATAGAGGGCGATGGTGTTAGATATGCTGTTATCAGTGGCTGGACATTTCCCACCATCTGCACCCTCTGACATCTGAGAAGATGAGGAAGGATCCTGGCTCTAAAGGGCTGGTTCTGCGAGTTTCTTTAATGTCCATGTTAGTGTGGGTGGGCCTTGTGAGGTCTTGCCCGGTGGGATACTTGGGTCCATGAGGTAGAGCAGTATTTTAATTTTAATGCATTATAAATGTGGAAGGGGTTCTCTTTGTCACTGTCCTCTCTCCATTCCTCAGCCACCGCATCAGAGCAACTAAAGCCTTTGACTTTATGACTTTGGACAGCTGAAGTCTGGAAATAAATTTGGTTTTAATCCCCATTCCCCAGGATTACGGAATGCTTGCTAAAACATACCTACTTTTTGGCTAGTTTCTTCTGCTTTTCTCACAATGCAGACAGATCTTTAGACAGTTTGAAACCATGGAAACTGACTTTCTAGAAGCAAAAAGCATTCCTTGCTTGCATGAATGTTGTTGTTTTAGTGGCTGGCATGGGCTCTGCTCCCCATAGGATCCAGTTGTTTGCTCTCTGATGAAGACTGCTCTCTGGGGCATCTTAGGTTGGAATGGCTTGGAAGATCCCTAGGCTAAGCGAGTGGCTAGATACTTGGTTAATTTTAATAGTCAAGTCGCCCTCTGGGTCTTTAAGTGAGGGTAAGAGTTAATGGATAAGCAGCATTTGTAGGCCCCCTCAGACCTCTTTGAGGTAGGAGGAAGCTATTTAGGCTAAAATATGCGAAGGTTCTAAGAAGCCATTTCTGGAGGTTCAGTAGGGGCTCAGCTTGGACTGTGTTTCACTGCGATGAGGGGGTAGTTCGGCATCGGGCTCGTGGCACAGTGGCCTGGTTTAAAGTAGAATCAGCTCTCATGTACCCTGCAGATTTTCTGTCCTTTGCTGCCATTGTATTGCTTCTCAGGATAGTGTATGTGGGTTCTGATTAGAAGCTAAAAAAAATTAAGGAATTAGGTAATGAAAGTGGAACCATAATCTGAAAAATAAAAAGGCCACACAGCATTTTATTTTGCAGTACAAAGGAACTATTGTTCCCTTCCCCAAAGATGTTTAAAAATACCTTTAAAATAAATAGCACCCGGGCCGGGCGTGGTGGTTCACGCCTGTAATCCCAGCACTTTGGGAGTCCGAGGCGGGTGGATCACGAGGTCAAGAGATAGAGACCATCCTGGTCAACATGGTGAAACCCCTTCTCTACTAAAGATAGAAAAAATTAGCTGGGCGTGGTGGCACGTGCTTGTAATCCCAGCTACTCAGAAGGCTGAGGCAGGAGAATTGCCTGAACCCAGGAGGCGGAGGTTGTGGTGAGCCGAGATCGCGCCATTACACTCCAGCCTGGGTAACAAGAGCGAAACTCCATCTCAAAAAAATAAAATAAAATAAATAGCTCCCTTTATAATCAATTTGGTGAATGGGCCTTTTAATGAATAAAAGTATAGCCTCAACTGTTTGCCATTAAAGAAGTTTTGATGTTCTAAAGGCCAATATAATGGTAAGTTTGCCAAAAATAAGGATAAGCTCCTGTCTTTGGGAGCTTACAGACCTGCGCTGTTATGTCAGGGTCTTATGAAATTCTGCAGGGTGTGTGTGTTTGCACAGTTGACATACTTCATTTCATAATGCCTTGCTCAGCTCTTCCCAACTGCCTCAGTTTCCTGGTGATCACCACTGAACACTTTGTTCTTACCTCAGTCATCAGTAGAAAACTGATTTAGGCAGGATATACCATTGAGATTCTCCCCTGCACATCTGCCAAGATTGGCTGTCTGCAGAAATGTCATGGTAGTTTTTGTAAAGCCAGCAAGTCAGGCTGCTGCCTGTCCTCACTTCCAGGTATCCTGGCTGTACCCAAAACCCACAAAACACACATGGGGAAATGTCTTAAAGCTTCTGTAGTTCAAGAGATTTAACAACTCTTACTTTTTTCTTTTCCTTTCTTTTTTTTGAGACAGAGTCTTGCTCTGTTGCCAAGCTTGAGTGCAGTGGCACAATCTCAGCATACTGCAACCTCTGCCATCCAGGTTCAAACAGTTCCCTGCCTCAGCCTCCCAAGTAGCAGGGACTACAGGTACCTGCCACCACTCCCGGCTAATTTTTTTTTTTTTTTTTTTTGTATTTTTGTAGAGACAGGGGTTTTACCATGTTGGCTAGGACTTGATCTCTCAACCTCGTGATCCACCTGCCTCGGCCTCCCAAAGTGCTGGGATTGCAGGCGTGAGCCACCACACCCGGCTAGTACCTTTTTATTTTTAAAAACCACGTCCTATGGTATCATTTCCTTGAGTCAGCAGTAAGAAGACATACAGCTCTGAGCTAAAAGGCGCTATACACCAGGATGTTTACCCCATTGTGTTGGGAAATATTTAGCTCTGAGCTAAAAGGTGCTGTACACCAGGATGTTTACACCATTGAGTATTTCCTGATGCAGTATAGTGTCAGAATTACAATCTGAATAGTATGGAGTATTGGAACCCTCTTTGGCAAACCACTGCTATCCCTTCCCATAACACATACTTTAAATATTTCTGACTTTTGAAGGGATGGGGAGGGTACTGGTCCCAGCTCACCCTTCCCAGAGCCAGATGTGATAGAGCAGGTGCATGTGGTAGGTCAGGAGGTTTTGAATTCCTGCCTGCTTTCTTGAGCTTCTGGGCTAATCTATCAGGAATGTGAATCCTAATTTGCAAGCTTGTCCAAGTGTCTTCTGTGGCTGTCCCCTTTATCTATCTGTCTTGGCCACTGTATACTCCCAGCTGGCAGAGCCCTGCTTTGCAGACTCATGGCAGAGTCTCTGACCAACATATCCCATCTCCATCACAACAAGCTTTTAAATGGTGAATTTAAGCCTCAAAACAGTCCCAGTCACATCTTCTCTTCCGAATTGGTTTTTAGGTATAGGCTCTTGGGGAGAGGTTTTGAAGGCAGGCCTGCACCTGGGCCTTCCTATGCCATCCATGCCAAACTTGTGAGACAGACCTATATCCACCTTGTCCTTAGCACAGTATGACTGGGCTGCCTAGAGACACCCCTGGTCTCACCCTGGGCTCCTTCTGACTCCACGTAGTGATTTGGCATATCTGGAAAAGAATGGGAAATCCAACCAGGAAAGCATTGGCAGGCTTGTGGATGTTACTGATGGTTTCACGGAACACAGATGAGGCAGCTACACGGCCAGCAAGACTTTTTACTGGTCCCCCACACGCACGCACGTACCCACCCACCTTCTGCACATGCATCTGCCAAGCCCTTTAGGCCCTTACCCTGCACCTGTTTCCCCAATACCTTAAAAACAAACCAGCATTAGCTGAGCTGAGACCATCTCTTCCTCCTCAAGCTAACTTCTGATGTGAGAAGCCCTTCATTTACTGACCTCCAGGTTTAACTCTAAAATAAAACTTTTACTTGGTTTTCTATCTGACTCCAAACCCGGAGATTCTGATAGAGCAGAGGAGAGAAAGTGACATTCCAATAAAATCCATATATGTTTCCAAGCCTCTTGTTAATATATCTTCCTTGATAAGTTTGCTGGAGTCTGCAGATTATTCTTAGATGAAGGCCTGCAAGTAGTTCAAGCCACTTCAAGCCTTTCTCTCGATACTAGCATTTGATTGAGGGTATCAAATGTGTTGTGGCCTTTGAAGGACAATGTATAGGGTAGAATTGGGCGACATTTTCTGCACTGTATCTGTTTTCACAAGCCCTCTATGAGACCAGGTCTGTATTTGGAGTTAGGATAACAGCTCTTTGGCTCTATGTGATCTGCTTTTTCCAGCTCCGAACATCCTTGGGAAAAGGAAGAGCATTTATTCGCTACTCCTTGGTGCACCAGAGGTTGGCAGACACCTTACAGCAGTGCTTCATGAACACCAAAGTGACCAGGTAAATACAGGACAGGGCTGAGGTTTAGCACCATCCCATGCAGAAATGAACTAAAGTTCATTAATAATAATGACAATAATTATTCAATAATAAGACTGTAACAGCAGTGCTCATTTGTGTCCCCTGTGACACCTGCGGGCTCCTTCCACATCTGTCATTGTCTTCCACCCCTCTTCCCAAAGTCCTTGACACATGTGGGCAGGTAGCAATGAGTTTTTATAGGTAAGTGAGGCTCGACTTAATGGGGCTTAATGCTTTTCTCTAGGCCTCACTCATTGCTCTCTTAAACCCTGATACCAGGCATTTTCCCTGGCAGATGGCATGTCCTTGGTGTCAGCACTACTGGACAGGTAGGTTACAGCCTTGGCCTCTCAGCAGAATCACCTGTGGGGTTTTTAACACTACTGTGCCTGAGTCCTCACCTGGTATACTGAGTGAACACCCACTGGGGTATCTGTACTCCCTGGAGACTGTGGTGGGCAGCCAGAACTGGGAGCCGCTGCTGCAGAGCACAGGTCAGGTGGATGGTCAGCCTTTGGGCAGGTAGTGCTGAAGCCTCAGCAGGGAAGGTAGAAGGAAGGAAAGAGGCAGGGATTGAGTCTATAAAGGGGAGAATGGGTGTCAGCTTAGAAGCTGCAAATCAGGTACCCGTCAACTAAACTTCTTTGGGTTTTCCAGCATCTCTTGACTGGCCTCTTTCCCTTGGGAGTATTCAAAGAAATCACTTTTGAATCTAAAAAAACTACAAAGGGAAAACCTTTTGTTTCAGTATGTCACCTTAAAGATTGATTTGCACAGAGATGTACTCGTATTTCTCATGCGTGTGACAGGACTTGTGATTTGACATGAGTTGAAAAAGTTTACATATTTGATTTGAAGGTTATTTTGTTTTAGGTGTTCGGTGAAGATGCATAAACAACTTGACTTAATCACAGTTCACAGACAATAATGTCTCACTTTTTTGCCCAGGTGAGAGTGCAGTGGCACTATCATAGCACACTGTAACCTCAAGCTGCTGGGCTCAAGTGATCTTACCTCAGCCTCCGAGTAGCTGGGACCATAGGCATTCACCACTGTGCCTGGCTAACTTTTTACTTCTTGTAGAGACAAGGTCTCACTATGAGACCTTGCCTGGTCTCAAAATTCCTGGGCTCAAATGAGCTCCCTGCCCAGGCCTCCCAAAGTGCTAGGATTATAGGTGTGAGCCACTATACCCAGCCATCTTTTTCATTTTGGGGGGTGGGTGGCTGGTAGGGGGAAGAGGGTCTTACCCTATCACACAGACTGGAGTACAGAGGCATGATTATGGCTCACTGTACCCTCTACCTCCTAGGATCAAGCAATCCCCCTGGCTCAGGCTCTTGAGCAGCTGGGACTACAGGTGCATGCCACGATGCTCAGCTATTTTTTTATTTTTGTGATAGAGATGGGATCTGTTGCCCACCCTGGCCTTGAACTCCTAGGCTCAAGCTGTCCTCCTGCCTCAGCTTCCCAAGGATGTTGGGATTACAGGCATGAGCAACCGTGCTCAGACCCATATTTTTAAAATTCTTGTTACTTTGCCTGAAATGAAACAACCGCTACCTCAAAATGCAGATAACATTTATTTTATTTTTTTCTCACCCTGTCTTATGATGCTGAAACATTTTTGAATAGTTTGTTCCTTGGCTCTTAAATTGGTATCTGGACAGAAAGTAGCAGTGACTTTCATGTCCCATATTTAGTTCTGAAAATGGGATAGAAAGTAATTTTTCCAAAAGGAAGTTTTCTTTCTCCTACAATTTCCCTTTCTTGGCAAGTAATTAACATTTAAGATTTCCCATATCCTTTCTGAGAAGTAGATATGATACATATAATAAGTGAATAAGCATCCAGATCATTGCAGTAATTTCTTTGAAGAAGAGCAAGCTTATTTGAGAGTTATGTGCTTCTACTGTGAAAATGAAATTGCTTTGTGTGCCTGTGTCTTTTAATTAAGTAACCTGAGTTGGAATTCGATGAGGCAGAGCCACACTGGGAGGACTGATTAAATCCACTCTTTCTTTATTGTTATTACTCTTATAATTGACATGTCTTATGTTTTTCTGCAGTGACTGGTACTATGCAAGAAGCCCCTTTCTGCAGCCAAAGCTGAGCTCGGACATTGTGGGTCAACTGTATGAGCTGACTGAGGTTCAATTTGACCTGGCATCGAGGGGCTATGACTTGGATGCCGCCTGGCCAACATTTGCCAGGTACTTTGAAGGATTGCTTGGTTTAAAAGACAGGAAAAGAGACATTTGAAGTTTTGAAGATTGCCATCGGTCTACTCAAAGCAATTTTGCTTACTCAGTAGATTACATAAAACTGTTCAACTCTTATACCAGCTCCTTTTACAGACTTTTTTGAATCATGGCTAATAATAACATCTGAAAGCTCCAACCTTAAACCAGTCTGATGGGCCAGGGCATGAGTCAGTGGAGATGCATATTGCAAAACCCAAGGCTTTAAAATTTGTTTAAGGCACTTGTTGTTATGGGCATTCGGGGAGGAGTGGCCTTTTCCCCCTACCTATTCTTACTGAGTATTACAGAAGCCTCCTAAGCAGTAGGAGAGGGAGTGGAAGCCTCAGCTTGTCCACATAAGTGTTGCAGGAAAGCTTACTGCATTTTTGTTTGTTCTTTTTTGAGACCATCAAACCAGCCTTATCTTACACCAATGTGGCACTCACATATCACCATCACCAGAGTCCTTACATCACCTCCGGGAAGGAGGTGTGAGGAATAGGCTCAGAGGATCAGGGGACTTGACAGAGTCACCCAGCTGGTGGGACACCTGACTTGGGTTGAACTCAAGTCCAGCATTCTTTGTTTTGTTTTGTTTTCTGTTAAGGCTTTTAAAATTTAACATTTATATTTTTTATTAGGCAACACTTCACATGTAGAGACAAGTAGTGAATATGTTAGTCACATGAAAACCACCAGGATTTAATAGCTTACGTTTTGCGTATTCAGATGTCCTTTTTTTATTTTTTGTAGAGATAGTCTTGCCATTCTTCCCAGGCTGGTTTGAATTCCTGGGCCCAAGCAATCCTATCTTGGCCTTCCAAACTGCTGGGGTTACAGGTGTGAGCCATCATGCCTGACCCAGATATTCTTTTTAAAACTTTTACATTATGAAATCATTTCAGAATTATAGAAAAGTTGCAAAAATAGTACAAGATACTCATCTGTCCTTCACCCTGATTCTGTAGTTATTGATATTTTACTATAATTCTTTATCTTTTTTCTATTTACCAGTTGATTTATTTCCTAAGCCTTTTGAGAGTAAATTACAGACTTTATCCTCTTTTCTCTTAAGTACTTAATTGTGTATTTCCTAAAATCAAGGGACATCCTCTTATATAACTCAGTACAGTTATTAAAATCAGAAAATTAATGTTGATACACTACTGCTATCTAATCTACAGACCTCATTCAAATTTTACAAATTATCTCAATAACGTCTCTCATAATCTAAGATCTAATCTCAGATCACATGTTAACTGTTAATTCATTAATTGCTAAGCCTCTTTAGTCCCCTTTAATTTGGAATGGTTTTTCAGTCTTTGTCTTTCATAACGTTCCCATTTTTGAAAAATACAGGCCAGTTACTTTGTAAAATGTTCCTTAGTTTGAGTTTGTCTGATGTTTCCTCATTGTTGGATTTAGGTTAAGCATTTTTGGCAGGGATACCTCAGATGCTGTGTCCTTACCAGCATGCTATATCTGGAGGCACACAATGTTGATTTGTTTTGTCGCCAATGAGGTTAACCATAGTCATCTGGGTAAGGTGGGACTTGGCAGGTTTCTCCAAAAGTTACTATTTCTCCCTTTGTAATGAGTATGTATCTTATGGGAAGACACACTGAAATTACATTATTATCCTTTTTTCTCTTTAATCTCTCATGTATTAGTTTTAATACTACTTGATAATTCTTGCCTGAAGAAGTTATTACCATCATCGTTACCAGAGCGATTTTCTAACTCCATTGTTCCTTTTACATTGTTAGTTGGCATTCTACTGTGAGGAATATCTTTTCCTTTTCCCCATTTATCCACATTCCCCATTTATTTACACCAGTATTGACTCATGGATTCTTATTTTATTCAATACAGTCAAGTACATTCTGTTACTGACATTATTTGTTTTGAAGCTTAAATTATCCCATTTATCCAGTTATCCCAGTGGGAGCCCCTTCAGGCTGGCTCTTGTGGGGAGGTTTGGTTGTCTGATACTTTTTTTAAGAAATAAAATATTTTCGATCAGTTGCCATCCTTTCTCCTTTATTTCCCTTTCAGAGGTAATCATGGCCCTGTAATCAGTGGCCCTGTAATCATTCCCAAATCTTACGCATTCACTATTACTTGGGTATCTGTAAATACTGTGTGTGTGTGTGTGTGTGTGTATATAATTTTACACATGTTGAATCATGTGATATCTATTCTTTTGCAACCTGCTGTTTTCATTCTGCATTGTTTTTGAGATTTTGTATCTGTTTATGCATGGAGTTCTATAGGTATAGAATTGGGTTGGCAAACCACAGCCCACAGGGCCATGTGGAACACAGCTTTGCCCATTTATTCACCTATTGTCCATGGCTTATTTTATACTAGCAGTGCCAGCTGAGTGATAGAGACCATATAGCCCACAAGACCAAAAGATTTACTATCTGGCCCTTTTTTTAAAAAAGAATGCCAACCCATGGTGTAGAGAATTCTGCTGGGTGAATAAACCACATTATATCTCAGTCCCTAGCAATGTAGAGTTGGTTTGGTTTCCCTTTTTCCAGTTACAGTGCTGCCAAGAGCATCCCCACCATCTCCTTATGTACATATGTGACTGTCTTCAGGGAAGATACTACAAACGGCAATTGCTGGGTTGTGGAGATGAAGTTTGAAAACACAATAGTTTAAGATTTAGGAGATGATTCTGATGAAGTAAAAATGTGTTTAGTTTCCAGTGTTTTTGCTAAATGAGAGTTATCACACAAGCCTTTGTATTTCTAAACCAATGCCATCCAAAGGAACTTTCTGCAATGAGGGAAATGCTCTGTCTCTGCACTGTCCGGCCTGGTTATGTGACCTAGAAGCAGGCCTCCCGCTGTTGCTGTGTCATACAGAGCGGCAGCTGGCCCCCCAAGCACACTGTGACTCTTATTTAGCAAGCTGACTGCTGCTTGTTCCTCACTGGCAGACAGACTGAGGGAGGCACCAAAAGCTCAAGGAAAATTTAAACGAAAAATTGGAAAATACATGTTCTCTTAATTCTTTTTTGACAGTGGGAAGAAAGCCATGATAGTAAAACTCTAGCCATGGAATTCGTCTGTTACAGACCAGTGTAGCTGTGCTCCATGGTGCAATCTGTTGGGTTTGACTTCCTTACATTCTACCTGGGAAGGCAGTCCCCTACCAACACCTGGTTGCCTAGTGACCAGCAAGGCCTCGATGTATGTGTTTCCTGCTCTGAATACAGGTATATCTGTTTTGTGGCCCCACAGGAGGACGCTAGCCACTGGCTCTTCTGCTTACCTATGGAAACCCCCTAGCCGCAGCTCCAGCATGAGCAGTTTGATGAGCACCTACCTGCAGGTAAGGCCAGGAAGGCTGGGAAATACCTTACTGTAGCTTCTACCAGGGTATGTCCTTGCTCCTAGCAACTCAAGGGTGATGCTCTCAGAAACCTGTTGCTCCAGCCACAGCAATAGAACCACTCAGTGGTTATATAATAGTTATAGCCACTATTCCCTGGAATCTGGGTTTTTCAACCAAATAGAATCTAGGCTCTCTTAAAATTAAATTCTCTCAAATTATTTTAAAGTATTTTTTAAAAAAGCAGTTTAGCACCAAAGTGATAGAGTCAAATCTTGACTCTCACCTACCAGCGATGACCAAGGGGAAATTACTTAACCTTCAGCTCTCTCATCCACAGGATGGTGATAATAAAAATCGTTCTAGCTCATAAATGAGGGAATGTGTGTATAGTTCTTAAGCATATGTTAATTGCTTAAGGGCCTGACATGTGAGGGCTCAGTCAATGTTAGTAGGTAGAGACACTTTGTTAATTTTTTTAGAAATGTGAATTTATCACAGCTGTATATAGTTCTCTGGAAACTGATCAGCAATAAAAAAAATTAAAACGATCAATATAAGGAACAGTAAGAGTAGATAATAGATTAATCTTTTACCTTATTTTGTGGCTTAATCATGCCAGGAGTTACAGGTATGGGTATGGCACAATGAATGAACAACAGCTTCGATATAATTGAATTTATCTCGGAGACAATGTCCATTAAGTTCATCAAGTTGAAGGAGGCTGGATGGGAAATGCAAGTCTGTATCTTAGTGGAGCTCACATGGGTGACTTCATGTCTTTGCAGTGTGCTGCTAAATGTGTGGCAGATGCTTTGAGTGAAGGGATTCTTCTAGTCTTTTGAATAGTTCTTTAGACTAACTTACAGCAGCTGATGCCTGTATTTTTACCTCTATTCTCATTAAACTCTAAAGCTTTTCTGAGTAACCATGTAGCTTCAGCCATACTTGTCTTTTGTGTTTTTTGTCCCAGACTCAAGAGATGGCATCCAATTTTGACCTTAACAGTCCCCTAAACAATGAGGCATTGGAGGGCTTTGATGAGATGCGACTAGAGCTGGACCAGTTGGAGGTGCGAGAAAAGCAGCTGCAGGAGCGCATGCAGCAGCTGGACAGAGAGAACCAGGAGCTGAGGGCAGCTGTCAGCCTGCAAGGGGAGCAACTGCAGACAGAGAGGGAGAGGGGGCGCACTGCAGCAGAGGACAACATTCGCCTCACTTGCTTGGTGGCTGAGCTCCAGAAGCAGAGGGAGGTCACCCAGGCCACCCAGAACACTGTGAAGGAGCTGCAGACGTGCCTGCAGGCCCTGGAGCTAGGAGCAGCAGAAAAGGAGGAGGACTACCACACAGCCCTGCGGCAGCTGGAGTCCCTGCTGCAGCCCTTGGCACAGGAACTTGAGGCCACACGGGAGTCACTGGGCAAGAGGAACCAGCATTTAGCCAGCATCCCAGACTGGCTGGCTATGGCTCAGCAGAAGGCTGATGCGGCACCAGACACAAAGGGCCAGCAAGAACACATTCCCAGCAATGCGGCTCGGGAGATCCAGGAGCTACAAGAGAAGCTTCGAGCCCTGGAAAGGGAGAGAACCAAGGTTGAGGAGGTCAACAGGCAGCAGAGCGCCCAGCTGGAGCAGCTGGCCAAGGAGCTGCAGCTGAAGGAGGACGCCCAGGCCAACCTGGAGCACCTGGTGAAGGAGGTGGCTCCACTCCAGGAGGAGTTGTCTGGAAAGGGGCAGGAGGCAGACCAGCTCTGGCGACGGCTACAGGAGTTGCTGGCCCACTCGAGCTCCCAGGAGGAGGAGCTAGCAGAGTTGAGACGGGAGAAGAAACAGCAACAGGAGGAGAAGGAGCTGCTGGAGCAGGAGGTAACATCTCTGACCCGGCAGCTGCAGTTCCTGGAGACCCAGCTGGCACAGGTGAACCAACATGTGAGTGACCTGGAGGAACAGAAGAAGCAGCTCATCCAGGACAAAGACCACCTCAGCCAGAAGGTGGGTGCGCTGGAGCGGTTTGCTGGGCAGCCCGGCCCAGAACTGCCAGTGGCAGATGAGAAGAATGAGAACCTGGTCCCTGTGAACTCCCCTCTGCAAGTGGCCTGTGGGAAGCCAGAGGAGGAGCAGAGGAGCCTGCCGGGGGCGCAGTTAGACGATACCAAGGGGCAGGAGGGCAGCCAGGAGGAAGAGCTCCGGCAGGCCAATAGGGAGCTGGAGAAGGAGCTACAGAATGTGGTTGGGCGTAACCAGCTCCTGGAGGGCAAGCTGCAGGCCCTGCAGGCCGATTACCAGGCTTTGCAGCAGCGGGAAGCAGCCATCCAGGGCTCCTTGGCCTCCCTGGAGGCGGAGCAGGCCAGCATCCGGCACTTGGGCGAGCAGATGGAGGCGAGCTTGCTGGCTGTAACTAAGGCCAAGAAGGCCATGAAAGCCCAGGTGGCAGAGAAGGAAGCCACTCTGCAGAGCAAGGAGGGTGAGTGCCAGCAGCTGCGGGAGGAGGTGGAGCAGTGCCGGCAACTGGCAGAGGCCCGGCACAGAGAGCTTAGGGCTCTCAAGAGCCAGTGCCACCAGCAGACCCAGCTGATCGAGGTCCTTACAGCAGAGAAAGGCCAACAGGGAGTTAGCCCACGCCCCGACAGTGAAGCTCGTGAGCTGGCTGCGCAGCTGGCTGTGTCTCAGGCGCAGCTGGAAGTCCATCAGGAGGAGGCCCAGCGGCTGCAGGCTCAGGTGGTGGACCTGCAGGCTAAGATGCGGGCAGCTCTGGATGACCGGGACAAGGTGCAGAGCCAGCTGAGCATGGCTGAGTCAGTCCTGAGCGAGCACAAGACCCTTGTGCAGCAGCTAAAGGAACAGAATGAAGCCCTCAACAGGGCCCATGTCCAGGAGCTGCTGCAGTGCTCAGAGCGTGAAGGGATGCTGCAGGAGGAGAGGGCCGGTGAGGCCCAGCAGAGGGAGGAGGAGCTGCGGGCCCTGCAGCAGGAGCTGTCCCAGGCCAAATGCAGCTCCGAGGAAGCACAGCTGGAGCATGCTGAGCTCCAGGAGCAGCTGCACCGGGCCAACACAGACACAGCCGAGCTGGGCATCCAGGTTTGTGCACTGACCATGGAAAAGGAGCGGGTGGAGGAGGCGCTGGCCAGTGCTGTCCAGGAGCTCCGGGACTCCAAAGAGGCAGCCTCAAGGGAGCGAGAGGGCCTGGAGCACCAAGTAGCTGGGCTGCAGCAAGAGAAGGAGAGCTTGCAGGAGAAGCTGAAGGCGGCCAAGACAGCAGCCAGCTTACTGCCTGGCCTGCAGGCCCAGCTCGCCCAGGCCGAGCAGCGGGCCCAGAGCCTCCAGGAGGCTGCACACCAGGAGCTCGACACCCTCAAGTTCCAGCTGAGTGCTGAAATCATGGACTACCAGAGCAGACTTAAGGTAATACTAGCTTCAACCACTTGAGCTCTACCCATCTCTCTGGGCAGGCCTGGTGGGTCCATGGAAGGATGCACCTTCAGCCATGAGGCAGGTGCTGGCTGGAGAATGTACTGTGGGTACAGGCATACACCTCATGGTCCTGTCCTGCTATCACAACTCACAGTAGCATCTTTTTCTCTGCGGAAACACGTTAGGGCAGAACATTGGGAGTGATGCCTTAGCCCGGAAGTCTAAACTCAAGACCATTGCAAACAAAATTAGCCCCCACAGTTTTTAAAATTAGTAGCCAACATTGAAAGAGCAGGGTATTTACAAATACAGTTTGAGGACTTCTTTTGAAACCTCAGAAGATCTGAAAGCCTGCGTCCTCACCCCACCCCCTCCCTGTGGCAGCTGAAGGTAGTCAGCAGGAGCCTGAGGGTGGCTGCCCACTTTAAAGGAGGCACACATCCTCTGGACTGTTCCTTACATTCGTTTCTGTACTTGCCCAGCCCCCCTGGGCATGTGAGTGAGAGCCCTGACTTAGCCTCCAAATCCCCTGCAGTGGGCCAGCAGTTCACAGCTGCTCACGTCCTGTCTCTGGGTTCTTAGTGAATAACCAACCCCATCAGGTGCTCTCCTGACAGCAGATGCAGGGTAGGGAACCAACTCACTTAGTTTTACAAGGCCCTTGGAACAGTCAAGTTGGTGAGATGAGCACTTACTGTGTGCCTTTGATAGTGCACAAAGATGAGGGGTTAAAGATGGTTAAGAGTGAAGACAGGCAGAATGCCCTGGGGCTTTGATTTCCAGGGCTTGCCACTGATCTGTCTGCATCAAGGTCTGTGTACTCTCAGGCTACTCCGAATCCTCCTCTCTGAGGCAGCTCCACCACACCACCATAGAAGTGCCTCCACACCCAGTGCCACCCTAGCCCGTGAAACTCCTTGTGGCTCATAGCCAACTTTTTCCCTTGCAGAAATTAAGTTCTAAATTTGGGGACCCGGCTAAGTCTCTTGTCCTAGTAAGCTTGAAAGTGTTTTGCTATTAATAAGCCCAAGGCTCATTGAGGAGCCAGTTTGCAGGGAAAAAGAGAAAGGTAGCTTGGTTTTATCTGTTTGGGTGATGGGGCTGAGGGATCCTCAGAGCAAAGACCCTACCGTTAAGATCTCTTTCTTGTCCTCTCTAGAATGCTGGCGAAGAGTGCAGGAACCTCAGAGGCCAGCTTGAGGAGCAAGGCCGGCAACTGCAGGCTGCCGAGGAAGCTGTGGGGAAGCTGAAGGTAGGCCTTGGTGGTGTGGACCTGTCAGGGAGAGGACATCTGGTGTGGTTTTGACTGGACCATTTAAGAGGGCTCCATGCATGCCTCCAAATTCTTAGGCTGAAGCCATCCTCAGTTCACCTTTGTAGACACCCTCAGTTTGTACCCTGACCCCCTCCATTCCCTGGACACCTGGCTGGAGCTGCCAAATGCAGAAAGGAAATAAGTTGTCCTCTTTGGCTATCTCTGTGGGTGATCACCAGCCAGTGATTCTAAACTGGGCGGGCTCAGGGGTGGCACTGGTCCCACAGTCTTCAGAGCAGTGACTTGTTCGAATGAATCTTGCTCCCTGCCACCCCTGCTTTTAACATTACCCTGGAAATTCTGGTACCTGCCACCTGCCAACCACCACAACTAGTTGCAGTTGAGACCCCACAAATATAGAGCAGAGGTTCTTGGCCTCTTGAACTTAATAGAAAACAACCTTCCATTTAGAAGTGACCCAGCCAGATGGGGTGGATGGCACACCAGTCACTTTATGGTACGTTGCATGGGCTTCTGCAGGCTGAGTGTTTCCTCCCTGTTGTCCTGTGCCAGGCCACCCAAGCAGACATGGGAGAGAAGCTGAGCTGCACCAGCAACCACCTTGCACAGTGCCAGGCGGCCATGCTGAGGAAGGACCAGGAGGGGGCTGCCCTGCGTGAAGACCTAGAAAGGTTAGTCACAATCCACCTATGCGGCTGTCGGTGGCCTTCAGGGAAGGAGTGTTTGGTCCCATCATTTAGAAAGTCAGTCACTCATAGTAGGTTTAGGAAGTCCTTTTGCAAGAAAAGCCACAAACTCAGAAAGTGCTTATGCTCAGAAAGCGCATGCTATATGGAACCTGGCTGCTTGCCCATCACAACCTGTACACGGCTAAGGCAGCTTTCTCCTAATGCGATTGTCTTCTGTCCGGCATATTGCAATGCATACTTCAGTAATGGCAAGCTTTGGAAAAACTAAAATGAAATGAAAGTTAGATCATAAAAATGTAATTAGTAACAGCGTGTATTTAAATAATGCTGAAAATGTGGCAGGCTCTGTTTTAAATACTTTGCATACAGTTGATCCTCCTAACAGTCCTATGAGGGAAGAAGTATTATCATTTATCCCCATTTTATGGATGAGGAAGATGAGTGTGCCAAGGACCAGGATCAGCCTGTCTTTGTGCACTCTCTGATGCCATATCTGTGGAGAGCAAATCACTCTGCCACCCCAAGGTCCCCTTGACCCCCTCATCTTGAGGCTTGGGGCCACATGGAATTATGAGCCTAAGTCCACTATGTGGTTAGGGGACCCAGCTAGTTGAGCCAGGACCTGATTAAAAAAAGGTTTAGCAGGGAGGAGTTGTTGGAATTGAATTGCATGTGTGCTACCAGTAAAGATAAGCACACTAATCTCTAAGTCTCTAACTTTTCTATTTATCTATTACCTCTTCCCACCGCCTGCCTTCTAGAACTGGGCTCTGGCTCAACGGGAGATCCAGGATCCTGGATATACATTTCTTTTCATCTTACCCTTCCAGTGTTAAGATCCTATAGGGCACTGGCTGCCTCTTAGCTAAGTCATATTCATATGACAGTTTAAACAGAGCCTGAGTCAGTGGCATGAAAACATGCTATAACAGTGTTTCGTTTGTTTATTTTTGGTTTGGTTTTTGTTTTGTTTTTTTGAGAAGGTTCACTCTTGTTGCCCAGACTGGAGTGCAGTGGCATGATCTTGGCTCACTGCAACCTCTGCCTCCCGGGTTCAAGCAATTCTTCTGCCTCAGCCTCCCGAGTAGCTGGGATTACAGGCATGTGCCACCATGCCCAGCTAATTTTGTATTTTTAGTACATGTTGGTCAGGCTGGTCTCAAACTCCTGACATCAGGTGATCTGCCTGCCTTGGCCTCCCAAAGTGCTGGGATTATAGGTGTGAGCCATCACACTCAGCCAGAACAGTGGTTATTTGTAAGATCTCAGAGCATTTGTTTCAGCTGCTCAAAGCTGCACAATCTATCTGCCAACTTATTTTATTCAGTGTGTGTGTGTGTGTGGTATGTGGTGTGGGTGTGGGTGCACCTATAAGGTCATTTTGGTGGACAGGGTCTAGTAAACAACTTCCTGGCAACTTTATACTAGATGTGGAAGGGCTGCATTAGGTATAAATTAATCAGTCTCTCTGCAGAGCCCTTTGTTTAGTGGAGCTTTTATTATGTCCCACTGGACCATCCTTGGAAAATCACTGCCTTAGTGGATAGCTGAGTTGAAAATGGAGTAGGTGGGGTCAGGAAGACAGCGAGATTCAGCCAGCTTCTTCTGCTGTAAACCAAGACATCCTGTAGCACCCAAAATGGAATTCCTTGGGCCTCAGGGGCTATCAGGTAGAATACTGGCAGTGCAGATTGAGACTGAGTGCTGCTGTGGGCCCAGCACCCATGCCCCATGTTAGAGTCCCAAGGACATGTGGAAGGCAGGCCCTCCTCCGTGTGGCCACCTCCAGGAAACTGCACCTCTGTCCTGCCTGTCCTGACTCCTTTCTCATCCTGCCCATCCTCCCCATCACCAGCCCATGAGCCTTGCCTACCAGGCTCCTCTCACAAGCTCAGCCCCTGTCCAGGAGCAAAGAAGTGCAGAGTTCTATTCACTTAGGGTGCTTCTGGCAACCTGGGATCAGCCTGTCCTCCCTCCCAGAATGCCCCTTTGTATGTGGGGGTGTAAAGAGAGTCTCAAAAGTTAGAGACTGTATAACCTGTGAACAGATAGTACTAAGGGGCTCCCCCACAGAGAGGGCAGTAGCACGCCTCATGAGAGTCCTGGGTGAGCCTAGAAGCCCTGGGGAAGCTGGAAGTCCTGAGTAATCAAGAAAACTTATCTCTCCTCCCCCAGGACCCAGAAGGAACTCAAAAAAGCTTCAATAAAAATACAAGAGTATTACAACAAACTCTGCCAGGAGGTGACAGACCGCGAGAGGAATGACCAGAAGATGCTCGCTGACCTGGATGACCTCAACAGAACCAAGAAGTATCTCGAGGAGCGGCTGATAGAGTTGCTCAGGTGAATGTTAGCTCAAACCAGCAGCTGGGGTTTTCCCCACACTTGGGTTTTCTCTAAAGAAATGCAGCTATTCTTGAAAGCACACTCGAGAAATTTCATTTTCTTGCCCTCTCTCAGGAGCCCCTCTCTCCTCCTCCATCTCACTTTCCCAAGTACTAGGAGTCCCAGACTCTAGTGCCTGCAGGTACCAGGCAGCTGATGTAAGTTTGCCCTGGGTCAGGAGGGGACAGTGAGAAACTGGAGACACAACTGGGCTCTGCTTCTGCCACATCCGTCGTGGCTCAAAACTGCCAGACCACCTTACTTCTCAAGAGAAGGTGGAAACCTGGATTTTCATGTGAAATGTCCTGATTTGGTAATGCTGGCAAGTCATTCAAAACTTCTTTTAACTTTTCTTTATGGAGATTTTCAAATATGCAAAAATGGAATCATGTAATACACCCCTAGGTACCTGTCACCCAGCTTCAATAGTGTTCAGCTCAGGGCCAGTCTTGCTTCATCTGTAGACCCACCTGCTTTTTCACCTTCCAAGATTATTTCAAAGCAAATCCCAGACACATCACTTCATCCGTAAATATTTCAGTATGTATCTCTCCAAGGCAAGGACTCTTTTATTTTATTTTACTTTATTTATTTCAAGACAGAGTCTCACTCTGTTTCCCAGGCTTGAGTGCAGTAGCATGATCTAGGCTCACTGCAACCTCTTCCTCCTGGGTTCAAGCGATTCTTGTGCCTCAGCCACCTGAGTAGCTGCAATTACAGGTGTGCACCACCACCGGCTAATTTTTGTATTTTTATTAGAGACAGAATTTCACCATGTTGGCCAGTCTGGTCCTGAATTCCTGGCCTCAAGTGATTTGCCTGTGTTAGCCTCCCAAGTGCTGGGATTACAGGCATGAGCCACCATGCCTGGCCCAGAACTCTCCATTTTAAACAACCACAGTGTCCTTATGACACCTTAAAAAATGAAGTATAATTTCTTAATATCATCAAGTATCTAGTCAGTTTCAAATTTTTCCCAGTGCCTTAGAATTTTTTCAGGTCATTCTAATCAGGATCTAAATTAGATCATCTATTGCAATTGATATGTCTCTTACATCCCGTTTAGTCTATGGGTTTCCCTACCATCTCTCTACTTTTGCTGATTGCATCCTTGTGGTGTCATTTAACATGATCATCCATCCCTTGCATTTCCTGTGAGTCTATAGTTACAGCTATTGCAGTGGTTCTCAATCCTGGCTACATATTAGAGTCCCTAGGGAAGTCATTTAAAAATGCGCATGTCCACGCCCCACCCCAGCTAACTGAATTGGAATTTCTGGGAGTGGGACTCAGACACCAGTGAGCCAGAGTTGAGAACCATCATTCTACTAGCATCTTGCTTAGATTAAGTTTCAAAATTTTGGCAAGAAAACTTCATAGACTTGGTTTGTAGTTTTGTGTCTTTCCTTCAAGAGGCACATACAATCTGATTAGCCCTCTTTTTGTGCTGTTAGCAGCACCATGGATCAGCAAAGCCTAGATCTGCTAATTCATTAAGTTTTGCAAAACAGTGATATTAAAATTACAACCAAGTTGAAGGTTTAAAAACTCAGCCTTCTTATCATCATTACACAGAGTTATAACCCAAGGTATTTGTGACCTGAGGACTGTGGTGGAAAACCCCCAGCTCCTGGAGGCATTCCACATTCCCAAAGTGTGGGTGGATCAGCCTAGAGAATGAGGCTGCTTCAGAGAATGAGTCTTCCTGCTTCCTGACGGTTTCAACCGTCCTTGAAAAAGCCATTCAAGCCCATGTTCAAGCTTATTTATTTAAGGCAAACAATCTGTGGTTGCTTGGGAGTTCCTGGTCACTCAGGACTTGAGTGGCTCAGGTGTCACATTATCAGTGGCCACAGTGCTGCTAGGGCCACATTAGCCCTCAGGTTGCCAGCTGGGGCTCCATATGAGAAAAAAACTAAACGTCAGAAACCATCAACCTTGAAAATGCTCATTAATTTCCCTGAGGAAACCTCTGTTCACATCCTCCTGCTCCAGGGCATCAGGCACATTCTGACACTGTCAGACCTTTCTGGAAAGCCTCACACTTCTTTCCTTCTGGCTTCCTAGAATGACCTTACCGTCTCTCTGAGGGGCAGAGGAGGCTAACATCTGATCAGATTTTCAAGCTAGGAAATCTTTGATCTTCTCCACTGATTAACTATTACTTGGACCAACCGTAGAAACATAAAGGACCCCAAGCACGTTAAGATTTGGGTGGGGAGTACATTCATGGTCCTTGGGCTTACTGCACGCAGAGTCAGCATGACAGTGTGTTTTAGCCTAAACTCCCAGTGGTCCTCAGCACTGTTGTTTAGATGCCTGAGTGGTGGCCCTTGTTGGTGCTGGCAGCTCTTTGCAGTTGACAGTGCCTTCTGTGTACATCTTTTGCCTCCCCTGTGTTCTCACTCAAGTGGTGTCACTTAAGTCTGCATGTTGGGGGGACGGAGGAGAACTAGCGTAGGCTGGGGCATATTTGCAAGGTGAAAGTGAATTTTCTTTCTATGATTTAGGAAATGTCTTTTGAAATGAAACAAGGATCATCCTATTGGTTTCATGGATTCTCTCTTCTTTTCTTCCAATGGGGTTTTGTCCCAGGGACAAGGATGCTCTCTGGCAGAAGTCAGATGCCCTGGAATTCCAGCAGAAGCTCAGTGCTGAGGAGAGGTGGCTCGGGGACACAGAGGCAAACCACTGCCTCGACTGCAAGCGGGAGTTCAGCTGGATGGTGCGGCGGCACCACTGTAGGTCAGCAGGGGGCTCATGGGCTGGCACCAAAACCCTGGCGGGGCCCAGGACCAGAGCAGACAGCTCTGAAAGAGGACTCTGTGATAGGTGTTGGCACTCTATAATAGGTGTTGGCACCATGGCTGGTATTTAGGAAGAGCACATTGCATTTTGGCTTTAAGGGAACCAGGTGAGGAAGGTGTATTAGTAGGGATCCTAGCAGAACAATCAGGGCTCCCTGAAAGGAAGGAACTAAATACAGAGATGTGGATGGAGTTAGTGGGGCCCACAGGGATGGGGCTTACCCAGAGACTAGCAGTTCTTTTACCATTCCTCAGCCTATAGGGACCAGAGAGGAGCAGCGTTACTGGAAGCCAACAAGAGCTGGCCTGAGGCTTCACTAGAGGAACACAGGCAGTGCCAGGGGCACAAAAGCCAGAGAAGGGTGGGTAAAGATGAATCTTTGGCTGGGCTAGGGGCAAGTGCAGAATAATTAGCATAGCTGTGGAGGTCTGTGGTCTCTTAGAGTCTTAGCCCCTGAGATATGGGAGGCATACCTTCAACTTGGTGCCAGGGAAGGTGGGCTCAACCACACTTTATCTCCTGCCTCCCAAGACCTCAGGAAGTAGAACATTTTTTCACCAAGCTGACAAGAGGGCTTTGTTGGAATCTGATGAAAAGAGCTCGTGGCCACATCCTAAAGTAGGGGCAGAGCCGAGTCTGATGAGGGTCACATGGCATCCAGAGTGCAGTTTGGGTACTGAGCATATCACACAAGATCATAGTGTATCATCCTCACAGCCTGGGCTTGTTTTGTTCCCAGGATATGTGGCCGCATCTTCTGTTACTACTGCTGCAACAACTACGTCCTGACCAAGCACAGTGGCAAAAAGGAGCGCTGCTGCCGAGCCTGTTTCCAGAAGCTCAGTGAAGACCCTGGCTCCCCTGATAGCACTGGCTCAGGCACTAGCCAGGGAGAGCCCAGCCCTGCACTATCACCAACCTCAGCTGGGCCCCAGGCCACAGGGCACCAAGGTCAGGCTCCTGTTACTGCCTACTATGTTCTCTAGGTGCCACCCCTACCACGTTGTGGCGAGTTAGTGCTCAAAAGCTGAATTCAGTGTTTTCTAAACTTACATAGTAAAGAGGTGCTAAAATATATTACCAACAACTTGACACTTTCATTTTGATGTGCTTAGGATTGAAAGAGAATTGAAAAGGGAATAACTTTCTCCTGGTAAGATTCAGTGTGGTTTTTTGAAAAGGGAATAACTCTCTCCTGATAAGATTCAGTGTGGTTTTATTTATTTATTTTTTTGAGATGGAGTCTCGCTCTGTCACCCAGGCTAGAGTGCGGTGGTGTGATCTCGACTCACTGCAACCTCCACCTCCCTACTTCAAGCAATTCCCCTGCCTCAGCCTCCCGAGTCAGCTGGGATTACAGGCACATGTCACCATGCCTGGCTTTTTTTTTTTTTTTTTTTTTTTTGCATTTTTAGTAGAGACGGGGTTTCACCATGTTGGTCAGGCTGGTCTCAAACTCCTGACCTCGTGATCCACCTACCTCGGCCTCCCAAAGTGCTGGGATTACAGACATGAGCCACCATGCCCGGCCTCAGTGTGGTTTAACATGAAGTCTATGGACAGGTTAATGTACATCTGTGAAATACATCCCACACTTTGGAAAATGCTATCTACCAGGGCCTTAGCCCTGGCATCCGGAGTAACACAAGGCTAGGAGTTGTATCTGGAATCATCCACATCCTTCACTCTCTTCCTGAAGCTTGCTCTTCCTTCATGTCCGAGGAGGATGTAATCTCCTTTGTGTCCTCTCACTCAGCCCAGTAAAGGAAGTAGAGTTTGGGTTCTGCTGCTTCTGCTTTGAGCACACGCTAACAGATAGACCTGGGCTGCCCTCCAGGGCACTGGACTTCGGATGTGTAGCACAGGGAGGCAGAGCTGAGGCACAGGCAGAAGTGGTCTCAGCTTGTCTCTGCTCTAGCATCATTGCCGTTGCAGTTGGTCCCTGTGAACTCCTCCTTGGCCTCTACGTGGATGCAGGCCAGTCAGCCTTTAGAAATGCTGTCCATTCCTCTTTTGTTTGAGTGGATTACCAAGTGGTTGGCAGGCCCCATTATGTTGTTAGGTATAAAGAACTGGTCAGGACAGAGAGTGTACTTTGCACAGCATTAGTTTATCTTCTTCAAATCTTTTGCCCGTTTTTAAATATTTTTTAATTATTGAATTTTGAGAGTCCTCTATATATTCTCTATGCAAGTTCTTTTTCAGATATGTACTTTTTTCCCAATCTATAGCTCGTCTTTATATTTCCTTTCAAAGAGCAAAAAAGTCTTCAAAGAGCAGAAGTTTATCATTTTAAGGAGGTCCAGTTCATCAGTTTTTTTTCTGTTATGGATAAATGTTTTTCTTTTTGTTGTCATATCTAGCTCAAAGACCTTCTGTTGTCTGTTAGAAGTTTTATAGTTTTAGTTGATACGTTTAGGTCTATGATTCATTTTCAGTTATCTTTGTGTATGGTGAAAGGTATGAATAGAGATTCATCTTTTTGTATATAGTTATCCAGTTATTTCAACACCATTGATTGAAAGACTATTCTCTCTTCCCATAGAATTGCCTTTGTACTTTTGTCAAAAGTTGACCTTATTTTTTTTTTTTATGCTGCCATGAGAAAGTAGGCCATTGACCTTATATATGTGGATTTATATCTGGACTTTTATTCTATTCCATTTATCTATGTGCCTATTCTTTCGCCAATACCCAACTGTTAGGATTACCGTAGCTTTATAAAGGATCTTAAAATTAGGTAGAGTGATTCCAGTTTTGTTCTTTATCAAAGTATTGGCTATTATAGGTTTTTGGTTGTTTTTTTCTATATAAGTTTTAGTAATCAGTTTGTCAATTTCTACAAAAACTCTGGGTGATAATTAAATTGGAATTGCATTGAATCTCTAGTTCAGTTTGGGGAGAATTGACTTCTCAATAAAATTGACTCAGTTCATGAACATGGTATAATTTTCTATTTATTCAGGGCTTTGGTTTCTGTCAGTGGACATCATTTTAGATCCCTGTTGTCTATTTTTCCCTTCCCTCTGCCAGCCTTACAAGGCAGGTTCAGGAATGTGGCTGGGTCTATGGAAAAAAAACAATCCCTGGCCCCCTTTTTTAGCATATGCCTCAAGCTCTCTGTTATACAAACTTGAGACAAGAAGAACTTTCCTTCTAAAGCAGGGCCTATCTTAGTGGTCATGTGGCAGGTCCAGCTAAGAACTTTAAGTTAGCAGGAACCATTTTTCTTGCTAACTACTCCGGGAACTATGCATGGGCTTGCCCTGACTCATTAGTGACCACAGAGTGCTAAGGTTACTTGCTTTGATTTTTGACATTTCCCATCTGCTCATTTTATTTATTTATTTATTTTGAAACAAAGTCTCGCTCTGTTTCTCAGGCTGGAGTGCAGTGGAACAATCTCTGCTCACTGTAACCTCTGCCTCCTGGGTTTATGTGATTCTTGTACCTCAGCCTCCCAAGTAGCTGGGATTACAGGTACCCACCACCACACTCGGCTAATTTTTGAATTTTTATTAGAGATAGGGTTTCACCATTTTGCCTCAAGTGATCCACCAGCCTTGGCCTCCCAAAGTGCTGGGATTACAGGCGTGAGTCACCACACCCAGTCTTTTTTTTTTCTCTCTCTTTTTTGCCTCAAATATGCCCTCACATTTTTCCATGACATGTGCTGGAGTGTTTGTGGGCAGATGACTGGTACAGGAACATTCCTATGGTGGCCTTCCTGGCCTACACAGTCAGACACAAGGCGCCTGGTTGGAAACCCAATGGCTGCTGCAAATCCTTGAGCACAGGGAGGTTCTTTTCCACCTATCAGTGGATTAATGGAAAACGCAAGTCAGATGGACTTCTGCTTTCAAAAATATGAGTAAGTACTGCCTGTGTCTTATGGAGCAAGGATTGAGTGGCATAGAAGTATGTTTTCTGTTATTTGGTTCTTTCCTAATAAGGTTTTTCTTTCAAATAAGGGACCTCAGAGAATACACAAGAGGCTGAAACATCTCTAAGGCCCTGACTTTGAGAAGTCTCTTAGGTTGTACATACCATTTCATCTGTCAGCCTTCCTCTACATTTTTGGAATGTCCCAGCAACTGTTTCTCTCAACTCTGGACAGAACAGCTGTCAGTTGAGTGACTAATTAAACTGTGCCTCAGCAGCTTGTTCTGCATAGCTGCACTCTCACTTTCCTGAGGGCCCTTACCCAGCCTGTGCATAACAGTGTGTTGTGTCTCTTCTCTTCCGATCTGCCTCTGCTGCCCAGGAGCAAACACAGACTACAGGCCACCGGACGATGCTGTGTTTGATATCATCACAGATGAGGAATTGTGCCAGATACAGGAGTCCGGCTCCTCCTTGCCTGAGACACCCACTGAAACTGATTCTCTTGACCCAAATGTGGCTGAACAGTGAGTAGACGTCACATCCATTTCCTGAGTACTCATTGCAAGCCTGACTGTTGTGCTTTCTTATCAAAGAATGAGTGAAGTGAGACGTTGGAAGCAGGATTGACTGTCTTTGCCTAAGGGAAGGTACCTGAGAACAGTGCTTTGTGATGACCTGGAAGAGCACCAGCGCTTGGGGAGTGGTCAGTGTTGAGCCTTGCAGGGAGTTCCTGGGAGATGTCAATGGCCTCTGGTTTCAGCATCACCATTAAGGCCTGTCTTACTTGGCTTGAGCACCTGTATTAGTTTGCTTGGGTGCTATATAAAATACCACAGACTGGGTGACTTAAATAACAGAAATTTACCTTCTGACAGCTCTGGAGGCTGGAAATGCATGGTCAGGTGCTGGCAGGTTTGGTTTCCTGTGAGGTGCCGCTCCTTGGCTTGCAGATGTCTGCCCCCTTACCGCTTCTTCATGTGGCTATCCCCTGGTGTGTCTCCATGTCTCTCAATCTCTTCTTATAGACAATGGTCAGATTGGATCGGGGCCCACCCTAATGACATCATCTTAACTTAATCATTCGTCTACATGCCTAATCTCCAAATGCAGCCACAGTCTGAGGTACTGGTGCTTAGGGCTTCAGCATGTGAATAATTTGGGGTATGGGGAGACAATTCGGCCTATAACAGCAACCCTTGCTGGGCCGCCCTTGACAGTTGATCAGAGCAACATGCTGCAGCGTGCTAAGGGAATGGAACATGCCCTGGGAACCACTGGAATGTGGGGGTTGGGAGAACACTGCAGGCTAATACAGTCAGGAAATGCATCAGAGCAGGGGTGTCCAATCTTTTGGCTTCCCTGGGCCACATTGGAAGAAGAAGAATTGCTTCAGGCCACACATAAATAGACTGACACTAACGATAGCTAATAAGCTTAGAAAAAATCACCATCCCCCCCAAAAAAAATGTCATAGTGTTTCAAGAAAGTTCATGGATTTGTATGGGCCACGTTTAAAGTCCTGGGCTGCATGCAGCCTATGGGCTGCGGGTTGGGCACCTTGCTTCAGAGGAAGGTATTCCAGGAAGGAAGGGAAAGGCCCAAAGTCACGGAGGCCACAGTGAGTAGGGGCTGTCTTGGCTCTTGAGTTTGGTGATGGATTAGCTTCATCCGTGAGGCTCCAGCACGGTGAGTTTAGTTCATCTTTTGGAAACACTAATCAGGCTTGGTAAGGATGCCGTGAGAAAGGAAGCTTGGAGTTAGTTGAAGTTGTCTCTGATAGATGTGTCCTCTCAGAGGTCACTTTAGCTGCACATAAACCCACCCAAAGCCTCAAAGTTTTAGCAGTAAGAAAAATATGGACGGGTCTTTTTGTTACTTGGTGCCCTGTGGAACCCAAGGGACTTTCCACTCATCTAGGCTGCACTTTGCCCTAGCACTGGTATTTTATGCTTCTCTTAATGAGCAACCTGGCTTCACCGAACCTTCCTGACTGCTGCAAGAATGCTGCAGCTTACAGTCAGCCTGTTATGTATAAGAGCAGGCTTCAGAAGGACAAAACAGCCACTGCAACGATGGTCTTAGTGCTTATTCTCCCTTGGCCCTCTCCTTTCTCTAGTATAGCTATTTTCCAACAAGCTTTTCCAGGAGAGTTTTACAAGGGCCAATTTTTAAAAACGTGAATTGTATAAAGTGCCACCATATTAAAATGCCAAGAGTTCATGACATAGGACCCATAGAAAAGGAGGTCCTTGCTTGATGTTTCTCAGCCCCTGTTGTCCAACTTTAATGCAGTTTCTACAAACAAAGAACTTTCTTAAGTTCAGAAACTCAAGAAAGAATGTATGTGGTTCCCAGGTCCCAGATGTTTCTCGACCCATTTTCTCTAGTTAAGGACTTTTATGATGCTCCTGCCTCAACATTGAGATCTGCCCCTCTTTTCCTGCCCAGAATTCAGAGGACTGATCTGTCAGATTGATCATTCAGGATTTCTCCTGCCTGTATTTAATCTTCATGAGGCTGCCAGTGCAAGGGACTTCAGGCCTATGAATATCTACACAACCCCTCTGTTCCCTGACTAGAGAGTGACTGAACTCACCATGTTGTAGATTCATGGATAAAGCTAGCCTGATCACCAAGCTCACTAGACCCAAGATTGCCTCTACTACTGTCATTTCTGTGACTTTGGGCTTTTCTTTCCTCCCTGGGATACTCCTCCAGCCCCTGACCATGGAAGCCTGCAGTGTTCTCCCAACGCCTATGGCCCAGGGGTCCCTGGGGCATGGTCCATTCCATTCCTCCACCACATGGAAAGCTTGGTGGGTAGATGGTAGGTGGTAAAGTGAGCAGGACCAGGAACCTGCGGGCCTGGGAGGACACTCTGGCTTGAAAGTGTCTTGCTGCCTCCTCTAGTCTGCATGAGAAAGTGACTATCCTACAGCTGGCTCTCTCCTTGCCCCTCACCTTCCCCTGCCGAGTAGGAACAAAAACGGAAGGCATTCCGACTGCTGACAAATATGTGTGGTTTGGTCTTGGGAAATCAGGAACTGTTCCAGGGGAAGGAAACTGCCAGCGTGCTGGTCCATGACCACCAAGACGGATTTGGTACTAACTGACGGGAACCTGCAATCCCTGCACTTCTGTTTGGGTGAAGAGCCACTCTTCCAAGTCAGTTAAAGGCTGCATTGTCAGTCACCTTTTTGTGCATTAGCTGGAGATAAACACAAGTATTTCTAGTAATGTTTTCCTACATTCTTTTTCTTCTTAACTTTTAAGACCTAAATAAAAAACACCAAGAGTCTGAGAAAGTGTGGGAAATCTGAAGCCCTAGATTTGTGTAAGCATCCCTGGCAAGAAACTTCAAGAAAAAATAAGCAAGTCCCAAATAAGAAGGGATCTGGGAGACCTTAAACACTAAGTCTAAATTCATGAGGAATATCAGGCCACTTGGAAGTAGTGTTGTTGAAAGTGACTCTATTATGCGCCTTTCTTGCACCAGCTGCTCTTACGCATGACCTCGCTAGTCCCTGTGCTGCCCACCAGGGAGTGAAAATTATCATCTCATTTTATAGCCAAAGAAGCTGAAGCCTCAGGAAGCTGGATCATTTGTAGTGTTGGAGGTGCCAGAACTAGGCCTTGGACTCCTCCCTCCAGTCATTCGGAAGAGTTCAGCTCTCTTCTCCCCGTCGCATGTCCTCATTTTGCCCATCTTCCCGCCTCCATGTTCACTCTTTCGCACAAGTACACATTCTTGGGGCTAAGGAATTTGTTTGCGCTGCCCCTCCTCCTGGCAGAGATGGGTCAGGAAGAGGTCCCAAAGTCCAGCCTGCCAGGGAGACCTGGCTGGATGCTGGGACTGGCTAAGCAACCTCTCAGTGGTCCCTGTGCATGGCTCAGAGCTAGAATGGTGGTGAGAGCAGGAGCACAGCCCCTGACTTCTGCAGAAAAGATTGTGTTCATCAGAGACCTCCAGACACACCTGTACACCCCCCTTTTCGGTCATTTAGGCCTATCCTCTGCCATCTCCACTGACCAAGTGCCCAGCTGTTCTCCAGACTGAGGCAGAGAAGGAAACCAAGCACTTGTCAGCTGGTGAACCAGGCCTGTGGAGTAAGAGCTGGCAGGAGCACTGGGCTGTGGCTCCCTCAGCCTTTGCTCAGCCTCTACCCAGTCACGGCCTCCTTGAGGCCCAGCCTCCCCCTCTGGCTACCAGATGAACAGACAGTATGGTGGTGAAGAACTCAAGCTCCAGAGTCAAACACGCCTGGTGTGCCACCTCCAGGCTCCATGGCTCTAGGCAGGGCAGTCCCCATGGCTCTAGGCAGGGCAGTCCCCGAACTCAGTTTCCTTTCCTATACAGAAGAGACTAGAACAGCACCCACCTCTAGGGGTATTAGGAAGATTACATGAGAACTGTGTGTGTGGAGCACTGAGCCCAGCCCAGTGCCTCATGCCTGGGAAGACTTCCATGGAGGTGTGTTGCTTTCCTGATGTGCCATCAGGGCCTGAACTGCGCATGTACTGCTGCCCTCACAGTACCTTGCACTACGCAGTCTCACTGTTTGCTCCAAGGAAGGTCCTTCAGATAGCTGGATGACACTAATTGAGCTTAAACTCTCCCACAGAAACAAACCCTGAACCCTCGGAGCGTCTTTGCCAGTAATTGCTTCAGAAGTGGTGCTTTGTGTTTGAGTGTCTAGGGGTGCTGGGGTAGATTTGTCACCGACCAGGAGATCTGATGCTTGTTATCTCAGAAACAAAATGAGAACAGGATATGGTGAATGGTTAAGGTTACAAAGCCACCTTGCACGCGGGTTAACCCAAGATCACTACCTTCAGCTGAACACAGAGGTGACAGGTACCCTGTGGCTTGTCAGTGGCAGGAAACCTTTCTGCAGCCAACATTCTGGGCAAAGAAAGAAGCTGTTTACTGAAGTGGTAGTCCTAGCTCTGTTGTCTGAGCTTTGTCAGGCATTAATCTCTCTGAACTAGTTTTCTCATCTGAAAATGGGGATGATAGTGCCAGGCCTCCTACACAATGGCATTAGTTACCAGGGACCAGCAGGGACTGGGCAGCTGGAAGAGGGTGCTGCTTTGAGAGCCCCTTGGAGGAGGAGGCCAGAGTGACGGCCCTAACCACCTTCCTGACCACTTCCTGATCACTCTTTGCCCTGCCTCCACCCCTGCAGTAGGGGTAGCTCTCCGCTTTTCTCTTCTGTGGCACCATCTCCTCCATCCAGAATATCCACGGAGGACACACCTGGGCTCCTAGCTCCCAGGTAGCCCCTAGAGCCAGTGTCATCTTGTGTTCCCCACATCTCAGATGATATGGCCATTCGTGGCCTCTGCCATATCTCTAATGGGATTGGAGCGCATAAGTACTGCAGCTACCCCAGGTTTGGGAACTTGGTAGGGAAAGAGCATGTCCTTTACTCTCCAACCTTGAGGCCACACCAAGGCGATGTGGACTCAAGTACAGCCCACACTCAGCCTGATCCCCTCTCCCCAGGCCTCTGATGCCACATGC